GCAAAAATGAACTAGAAATCTCTTAAGAATGGTGCAAGTATTTTAAAAACGAGTGATACTTTTATGGTCCAAGATCCACATTTTTCATGTAGATCTTCTCACATTTTTTATGAATTTGCATGTGGATATTTTTTCTTTTTTGAAAAAAAATCATTTGTTATATGCTACAAATGCATAAAGTCCAAAAAATGAGCATAAACCTTAAATTCAAGGAAGAATTTGTATTTAAAAAAAATTCATTCTTAGATTTGATCTAGCGTAATATGATACTCCATCCGTCCTAAAATGTTTGCCATATTGACTTTTTTAACAGTCACAAACTTTTGTTTAATTGTACGTTTTCATTGATTATTGGATAAAATAAAATATTCTTGACACCTCTTATTTCAAAGAATTTTTCATGTAGTTTTTAAATATATAACTTTTATTTTTTATTTTTATATCAATATTTTATTAAAATTAATTGAAAAAACTTGATATTTTGCATCGTTTTTTAAAATGTGGTAAGCATTTAGGAACAAATGGAGTATCAGCTTATTTCACTCCCTCCATTTTAAAAACAATTTCTATGTTGATTTTAGGCCAAAATAAGAAGTATATATATTTGTAGTAAATTTTCCAATTTTATTTTTGATGTGATGGGTAAAGTAAAATATGATAGGTAGATTGTTAGTAATAAATATGATATGAATTAAAGGGCATGTTTGGGAATAGCTTTATAGATTAACATTAGCGTTTTGGATAAAATTTTAACGGTGCAGATTACTTTGAAAACGCTAAACGCTGCCCGTAGATAACTTTTTTAAAATCCTAACGCTAATCGCAAACGCTATTCCCAAACAGGCCCAAAATGGGTTTTTAATAGAAAGTGAGAGTATTTTGGAAAAAGAAAAAAATAAAATAGAAAATATTTTTAAAAATGGAGAGAGTAGTATAATTTAAAGTTTTTTCTGATCATTTTTTATTTAATCTAATTTCATTAAAAATAAATTGAAGGGAACAAAGCATAAAATACTTGAGAATCAAAAGTGTGATTAAAGTGCGATTGAATTGTATTTGATATAGAAAAAAACTTGTAAGCAACCTATTTCATTATGAAATAGGAAAAATGAACCAAGAAAATGATGAAAGATTTATTGAACTCAACTTATAGAGTAAATTCTCATAATAGCACTTGATCACTATGTGTTTTCTAAAATAGTCCCAAAAACTAATTAATTTCTGAGATGATACTCGTTAATTGTGAATAATGGGCCATTCAACCCCCCGACTAACAGCCGTTGAAAGAACGTTAAAATGACGTCAAATATTTTACTACTTTTCTAAAATGGTACTTTCCAACTCATTGTTTTCTCAATTGGTCCATTTTCAAAATAAAAAAACATTAATTATGGAAAAATATTTTAAAATTTTACGATAAAAATATAATACGATAAACTAAAATTATATTTATATAAATTTAAAAGTAATCGTATTAGATTATTTACAATTATTTAAAAGAATATGTAAATAAAGTATTAAAGAAACCATCTTAAATAGGAGTAAAATATAAATAAATAATCCTAAATAGGAATAAATAAATAAAATATTATTTATGTTGTAATCCTATTTGGGGTGATCTTTTAATGTTTATTAAACATTTTGTTTTCATGATATTGTTCTAAATAATTGTAAACAATATAAAATATTTATTTTCAAATTTAAAAAATTATATTTATAAATTTTATTATTATATTGTCACCTTATAAATGTTAAAATATTTTTCCATAATTAATGTAATTTTATTTCGAAAGTGGACCAGTTTGAGAAAAATACCTAGTTAAAAAGTATCATTTTGGTAAAGTAGTATAAGGTTTAACGTCATTTTAATGTCATTTTAATGGCCGTTGGTCGGAGGATAGAATTGAGCATTATTCTCAATTAAGGAGTATCATCTCAAGTATTAGTTAATTTTAAAGACTAATTTAGAAAAATACATATTTATCAAGTATCATTTTGAGAATTCATGTTAAAGATATAGGCCCAATGCATTGATGGCCCGAAGAGGATCAGCACAAAGGGTAGGCAACGACACCAGCAAGAGCAGAGAAGAACAATAAAAATAAAGAGTAAATTCCATAAAACGGTCCCAATTTACCAATTACAGTTCATTTTACATATTTAATCCCTACATATCAAATATCAATAATTTCGTCCCCAATTACTATATTGTTTTCCATGAATAGTCTTTTGTTAACATTTCTATTAAAAACATGAATAAAGTTGTAAATTCTTACTCCTCTATCTCCTCAATTAAGTCTTCTCCCTCCTCTCGCGCTCCTTTCTCAAACCGTTCACAGAGTTTGAAACTCTACATCTAAAATTGAAACGATCACTCGTTTCTCAGTTGTTCATCTTCCTGGTGAAACCCAAAATCAAAACCAATAACCTTTATGGATGAGTTTTATGAGTTAGTCTCAGAAAATTACAAATACAACAAACCTTAAAACTCATCCATGAAGGTTACTCGTTTTTATTCTGGATTCCACCAATAAGACAAACAATTGAGAGAAGAGTGATGATTTCAGTTTTGGATTGAAAGCTTCAAACTCAGCAACAAGTTAGGAAGAGGAGTGCAGGAGGTGAGATGAAGCTTAATTGAGAAGAGTGAAGAGCGTGAATTTATAAATTTATCAATGTTTTTAACGGAAATATTAAAAAAGGACCATTTGTGGAAAATAATATAATAATTAGGGACTAAATTATTGATATTTGATATGTAAGGACTAAATATATAAAATGAACTATAACTGGGAACCTTTATAGAATTTGCTCAAAAATAAACTTTGAATTTAAATAGATATTCACAGGGTTACAACGAGTTAAGAAAGATTACAAAGGTTCATTCAACTTCCTTTTTTAGTTTATTACTTATTATTATTAGAATCAGATTTATATAAGATATAATTATATTAAAGCAAATCAGATTTTCAAAAAATCAAATCCTATCAGATCAGACGAACAAAATATAGCCAAAGCAGCTACGACGAAGGGTAAAGCTGATGATCTAAAGAGGACGAAAGCAGAAGCGAAACTACTTAGGTGGTCACAGGTAGCGATCGATCAGAGACGGCAACTATGGAGCGCCCGAAACAGAGAACGAAAAAAAGAAAGCAGTCGCCAAGCTCTCCTTAAGGTAGTAGAACATGTCTTCCATACAAAAAAAGGTTTTTCCTTTCATTTTGGGAAATAGTATAAAATTTGAAAATGTTTAATTAGATACTTGGAGACATGGAGTGTATGTTAGTATTTTTTCATTAATTTATTTTTTTTTATTTCTAACACAAACTATTTGCATTTCTAAAACATTATTACAAAAATAATTTAAAAAAAGATTTTTAAAAAGCTATGAAAAAGGAAACAAAACAGAAAGAAAAGAGGGAAACAAAAAGAAAAAAAGAAACAACAAAATGAATGGAAAAAAGAAACAATGAAATGAATGGAAAAGAAACAATTTTGATTTTTGTAGTTAAAGCTTTTGAACTTTGAGAAGAGATAACATAAAATGCATTGAATTTTGATATAAATTTAATGAGTGTTACTATATAAATCAAAAGCGGCTTTGTATGAGAATCCTCTCTTTTGTACTTTTAAGGTTAAAATTTTCAATTTAATATTAATGGAGTGGATAGAGCAAAATGAGGTTGTATATAGCAATACCTTAATTTAATATCAATAGATTCATTTTAAAATATAGTTTTGAAAAAAAAATCATAATTTTATATGTTACCTTGGTATGTTTTATAATATTTGTTTATATATAAATAGAAATATTAATAATCAAATTGTTAGTCAAAGTATATCATACTTCCCCCATCCCATAAATTTTCTTTTTGTTTATTTTTTCACGATCTCCAATACACTACATTGACTATTAAGATCTTTATTTATATATAATTGTATAGTATAAAAATATGATATTTTTAAACCTTATTTAAAATGAATATATTAATATTAAACTTATATCATAATTGATTTTTTTCATATTTTAGGGTCAAAGTTAGAAATTTTTGACAAAAAAATAATAATAAAAGATAACTTTAAGAGGGGGATAATTTGAGCGAGTGATAGTATAGTAATACGAGTTATACAAGGGTGCACCACATGGGTGCTACGGGTGCTATGGGTGCACCCATACTTCGTATAAACAAACACAGACGCTAATTGTCTGTGCGACATAGACAAATATCTTCTGTATTTGTCTGTGCAAAATGAGTGCACTGATGGTAGCACCCATGTGGTGGCATCCTAGCATTATTCATAGTGATAATCGTATTAGTGAATATGAAAATTATACGGGAAAACATAAAACGAAGAGAGAATGTGAGGTCATGCTCTCTTCGATGATTCTTATTAGAATCAGCTTGTATCAGATCAGAAATAGTTTTAAATATAATTATATCTAGATAAGATCAGATTTTATTCTAATCAAATCAAACTATTCAGATCAGATGAAAAAATGGCCTTAGTGTATAAAAGATTTTTTAAATTAAGCTATTGGTACCTCAAAATTCGTACACCAAATTGTATACTTATACTTGGGTGTGTCTTTATTTTGTGTCAATGTGATGATGTTAGGGTGATGATCATTCATACATGCACAAAATATTAATGCAAATCTTTTAATCGCAGAAATATTTTGTACAAGTATAAACTGTCAAAATATTAATATGTATCTTTGATATAACTTTGAGACACATCTTTTAGTGTAAGTTTAGCATGATTGATTTTTTTAAACCACTCATTACTAGTCACTATATTTAGAATTTTATTTGGAATTTATATCTATTCATTCAAATGTGAACATGTGCATTTGTGACTTTGCATGCATATACACATTACTCCCTCCGTCCTAAATTATTTGTCACATTTGTATTTCTGAGGCAAAATATCAAGTTTTTTCAATTCATTTTATTTACATATTAGTATAGAAATAAAAAATAAAATTTACATATAAAAAACTACATGAAAAGTTCTTCGAAATAAGAGGTGACAAGAATATTTTATTTTATCAAATAACCAATGAAAACATCGAAATAAACAAAAGTTTCCGCGACTGCTGAAAAAGCAAATATTGTGAATATTTAGGGACGGAGGAAGTATTACACACATTGGCACTATATATATATAGTCCCATCTTAAACTCATTCAGTATAGTATATGTATATCCAACAATGACTTCCCCTATTGCTCTGCTTCAAAACACTCTCCAATGGCTTCTTCTTCTTCCTCTCCTCTTAGCTTTTCACCTTTTCCCACCACCCTTCTCGTCAGCACAGAAGCAGAGGTCCACTTACATTGTCCACATGGACAAGTCCTTCATGCCCGCCGCCTTCCCCACCCACCACCAGTGGTACTCCGCCGCAGTTGACTCCCTCCACATTCCGTCCACCGAAGATGACGACGGGGGAAGTTCTTCCCCGAAGCTCGTCTACTCTTATGACAACGTTGTTCACGGTTTCAGCGCCGTCCTGTCAGAGGGCGAACTCGGCGCCTTGAAGTTGTTGCCAGGATTCGTTTCTGCGTATAAAGATCGGAGATTTGAAATGCAGACCACTCATACTCCGGGGTTTCTGAAGCTTAATCCGGATTCTGGGTTATGGCCGGCGTCGAAATTTGGGGAGGATGTGATTATTGGGGTGATTGATTCCGGAGTTTGGCCGGAGTCTAGGAGCTTTGGAGATTTGGGGATGACGGAGATTCCCCGGAGATGGAAGGGAATTTGCAGGGGAGGAAAAGAGTTTAATTCTTCGGCGTGTAACAAGAAACTCATCGGAGCTAATTATTTCAATGCCGGTGTTCTCGCCGACAAGCCGGGGGTCAATATATCGATGAATTCCGCCCGGGATACTGACGGACATGGCACGCACACGGCGTCGACGGCCGCCGGGAACTCAGTCGGAGAAGCTTCGTACTTTGGCTACGCCAATGGTACGGCCAGAGGAGTGGCGCCTCGAGCTCGTGTGGCTGTGTACAAGGTGAGCTGGGACGAAGGAAGCTTCACCTCCGATCTCATCGCCGGCATGGACCAGGCAGTCGCCGACGGCGTCGATGTGATTTCCATCTCTCTTGGCTACCGGGAAATACCTCTGCACGAAGACCCCATAGCCATCGCCGCTTTTGCCGCCACGATCAAGGGCATTCTCGTCACCGGCTCCGCCGGGAACAGTGGGCCCACTCCGGGTTCTTTAAACAACGGCGCTCCATGGATCTTGACGGTCGGCTCCGGCACAACGGACCGGTGGTTCGCCGGAACATTGACCCTGGGCAACGGGCAAAAATTCAGGGGATGGACTCTGTTTCCCGGGAAAACACTCGTGAAAAACGTAAGTCTCCTCTACCATCCGTCAATCTCCGACTGCGATTCCCCCGAGGTGGTCGGTCAGGTGGCCAACCCTAACTCCACAGTCCTGATCTGCGTCAGGCCTCTCGCCGGAGACGTATTCTCCAGCCAAATGAAGTACGTCGGAGACGCCGGAATTCTAGCCACAGTCTTCATCAACGACGAACAGACCATCTTCGGGTCAACTTACTTCCCCAATCCCGGCGTCGTCATCAGCCGGGAAGACGGAGAGCAAGTAATCAATTACGCAAAAGACGCCGCCGGCGACCCAAGAGCGACGATCACATTCAAAGAAACGCTTTTCGGGGAGAAACCGGCGCCGGCTGTTTCGAAATCGTCGTCAAGGGGACCGTCGCCGAGTTACCCCGGAATCTCGAAGCCGGATGTCATGGCGCCGGGAGTATTGATCTTAGCCGCTTATTCTCCGAGCAGATTAGGGACAGAGTTTCATCTGGAGTCGGGGACGTCGATGGCCTGCCCCCACATTGCCGGAATTGCGGCGATGCTCAAAGGAGCTCACCCGGAGTGGAGCCCTTCTGCAATCAGGTACAAAAAAACTGAAATGGTTTTCAAATTTTAAGGTTGTCCAAGTTTTACGAATAACTTAGAAGTCACCAATACAAATTTCACCATCTTCAACTCTAAAACACTAGAATAAAAAATGTGAAATTTGCACTAGATTAAAACATAAGTCATTTCCCAATATAGACCTTAAACTTTTTTATTCTCTAAATAGGACTTAATAATGACTATTGAGAAGAATAATGTTCAAGTGATGATGAACATTTAGTTAAATAATGATTAATAGATAATGACCAATGGTCCTACATTGGGAAATAAAAACATATGCTCCTATATTAAGAAAGTCATTATGTTTTAGTCCTATTTAGGTAAATTATCCATAAAAAATATCTTTAGATAAGGCTAAAATAATAGGGTAAATTTGCACTAAAATAAGATCTCTTGAACCTATCTAATCACGCTTGCTAAACATTAGGGAGTACTTTATTGAGCATGTGAATAGTGGTGTAACAATTCATTTTGCATTGTCATCTCTAACCTTCATTTGATATAATTTAGCTAACAATTATACTTCATTTAGTCGTAAAAACTCTTTTTCTTTTCACTTTTTTTTAGTTAAATAGTACTCCGTAAAATTTTTTAACCATAAATTGCAAGTAAGTATAATAAATTATAATATAAATTCAAAATAATTGGGTTTATCTTTAGATATTGTTTTGATACATTAAATTTTTACAAAATTTATTTATTTAAATTATATTTAATTTGAGATCAAAGAGTGTCTTTGTTTGACTAAAAAAGTTAAAACAAGAAGAGTTTATAGAACCGGAGAGAGTATTATACTTCGGGGTATTGTTTTCACTACTATAGTACACTATTTATAATAATTTTTAAATTTATTATTTTATTTTATAAAAATTAAGAAATACTTTGTAAGTATGTAATTTAAAAATAGTAAATTAAAATAAAAAATTATTTTTTTATAAAAAAATAATATTTTTTTGAACTAAAAATAAATTATTGTAATATTTTATTTTTCTTCTTGCGTTATGGCGTTGAACGTGTGGGAAAAAATGTGTCGTGTTGTTAATATAAATTATACTCCGGATAGCATATAGCAAGCCATTTTGGAGATATTCTTATGTTTTTATCTTCTAACTAGGAATGTTGACATTGTTCAATGTAACACCTTGAAAATGTGTGTTGGTATTTTAATTGTTTTTTTAGCATTACGTATTGATCCGAATAGCAATAATTGTCAAATCTTAAATAATTGGGAAAAAAAGGAACAAATAAGTCTACAAAGGTGTGTGAATTGAAGGACTCAAATAACAAGTGTGCCAAATAGATCCAGTTAATGACTTGGGTACACTGGCTTGCAATACCCAGCCAATTACTCAAGTAAAGAACTTAATTGTACTATATTTAAATGTAAACTCCACGTCCTACAATTAATTTCCTAGTTTTATTTTTTTATTCAAAATTTTTAAACTTTGACTACATATTATAGAAAAAATATATTGAATTATCATATCAATAGATTTATTTTGAAACTTAGTTTTGAAATATATTATTTTTATAGTACATATTTATATACAAATAGAGATTTTAATGGTCAAAGTGTTGTATAAGAGATCGTGAAAAATCAAATGCGAAATTAATTTTAGGACGAATAGAATAATTTATAATACCATTGAAAAATTCAAAAGGAACAATGATGTACATGGACTTTTTTTCAACTTATTTTAAATTCAGCCCAATAGTTTTTAATGAAATTCAGCTTAATAGTTTTTTTATCCATTTACATTAAGCGTCTAAGTTTTATTGTTCTCGTTACAATTGTAAATTCTTAGAGTATATATTATGTGTTTGAGTTCTTAATTATCGTTTTAAATCTGGGTTCAAGAGAGTACAAATTTGGGTAGAGAACGTTTATAAATAAGGTTTTCTAATTTGACCAAAGTGTATAAATAAGGAAGTGTTAAGTTGTAGTTGACTTCCAATTTTGTCTTTGATATGATGGGTAAAAGTAAGATGTGATGAATAGATTATTAGAGAAAAAATATGATGTGATCGGTAGGATATGAAAAAGTAACGATAAAAGTGATTTTTTAATATAAAGTAGAAGTGTTTTGTTAAAAGTGGAAAAAATGGAAAAGGAAGTGTTTTTGAGAACGGAGGGAGTATTAGAATGCCCCGTTTAAAAAAATTAATGGTTTCTACCTCAGTGGTCTTCCTATCCCCCACCCAAAATCAATGATTGGTTACTGTAGCCAATTGGCGATTTTGGGTGGGGTGCAGGGGGCTGCTGTGGTGGGGAAATAGAGGGAGTGCTAGGATGGGGGGAGTAGGGGGATATGAACAATCAATTTTTCGAACGGAGCATTGCAGACTGTTATTGTTATAATATGACGTGTCATGCTAGAGTGCTCCCAAATGGTTGCTACTAAGGGTGCACGCATGCTTCGCATAGATAACATTGATGGTAATCATCTGTGCAAAGCATGGTTGCACCTTTGACAGCAACCATTTGTTTACTAATATGACACCCCTTCTTGTTGTCAAAAGAAAGAGGTCGTTTGTATTATAGTGAGAAAGAAAGATAGTACCCTATATCTTTTTGCAACAAAATTAAATGAATATTAAAATATATTAACCTAATTAATACTGTAATTCTCTATACTTCATGAATATCAGTCCGCATTTTGACGTACTTTCATAAGAAACCAAATAATTCATTTTTTGAATGTAAAACAGAGCTTTATAGTGAGATGTCAAAAATTTAAATATGAGACCGAGGGGTATAAGGCCATTATATTTTTATTGGAATTTTATGGTTTTCATTTTATTTAAACCTCCAAAACATTTCATATTTTTTCCACATTTATAAGTATGGTATCCGTGTGCCCTCAGGTCGGCCATAATGACTACGGCGATAACTCTCGATAACACCGGCGAACAAATAAAAACTTCCGACGGCAATTCGGTTGCGACGCCGCTAGACATGGGTTCCGGGTTAGTCGACCCGAACAGGGCGGTGGACCCGGGTTTAGTGTACGACGCCACCCCACAAGACTACCTGAACCTCCTCTGTTCCATGAATCTCACCGCACCCCAGTTCCATAGCATAGCACGATCTCCGGCGACCGTGAATTGCTCCGACCCGAACCCGGACCTCAACTACCCGTCGTACATTGCCCTGTACCCCCGCGGAGGAAACAACGGCACCTTCGACTGGTCGGTCCAGACCTTCAAGAGGACAGTCACGAACGTCGGAGAGGGCGCGACGAGGTACAGAGCGAAAGTTGAAATTCCGAGGAACTCGGACGTGACGGTGTCTCCGATGACGTTGGTGTTCGGGAAGAAGATGGAGAAGCAGAGCTATAGTTTGAGGATCCGTTATAGAGGCGACGAGAACCAGAGCAAGAATGTGGGGTCCATCACTTGGGTTGAGGTGAACGGGTATCACACCGTTAGGAGTCCGATCGTTGTGTCCAATACTGTGGATGTCTGGTAATGAATATTTGGAGAGTTATTTGAGTTAAAATATAATTGCCACCATAAGAAGGAGATTGTGTATGTGTATTTACAAATTTATTTTAAATGATTGTTTTTCTAAAAGATTGTGTACTATAAAAAAAAGTTATAGTTATAATAATCTTTATAACACCATACATCAACGTTTGTAGAAATGACTTATGTTTATATGTTGTAATCTATAGACAATTATACAAGTCATTTAAGTTAACTCTGTATAAATTAGTCATAGTTATAATAGGCATTTTGTACATTGACCTATTTTCACACATGATTTGCAACATAAAATTATTTCAACTTGGCATGGGATTTTTCATTGAACCAATCTTGATCCAGAAATTTCGGTTCTATACCGTTTGATATCAATTTCGGTACAAATATAATGTATACATGGATACCTATTTTACACTTCAAAATATAATAAAACACCATTTTTTTAAAACGAAAGAACATTTAAAGAAAGAAACATAAAAAACTAATATTAGATTATAGGGCAAGATTCCGTTGACACTGTCCAACGGTGCCACAAGCGGTGCCACTACATTTTTGGAGCACCTCCAGTGCTACGTTTACAAAAGAAATGGTTCCTACCTCCTTAATCCACCTCTAAACCCCCCACTCAAATGTGTGACTATTATGCATTATATAATAGCCACACATTTAGAGGGGATAACAGAGGGATATTGGGTGGGGGTGCTAGGGTCAGGTTAGGGTGAGGGTGCCGGGGGGTTAGGGAGAGAGTTTGGAGGTTCGAAATCATCAATTTTGTAAATGAAGTACCAGAGAAGCTTCAAATGAGAGACTGTCATTCGTTGACACTAGAATCCAATATCAACGAAACCTTGCCCTTATTCACAAATTAAAGAAAACAAATGATTCCATAATAGTGTTTTAAAGGTTTGTTAATTTTTTTCATCCACGAAAAACTAAACTCAAATAAAGTATAATTTACGTATAACAAAATGTGAACAAAATTTTCAAAATAAATTTATTACGGAGTGTTTAATTAATAAATATAAACATATTATTATTTTAATAATACATTATTAAATATGTTCTATTCAATATTTTTGGGATGAGAAGTTACTTTTTACCATTCTCAAATACTGTATCGACTATTCGGTTCGGTACGACAGAATTTTTTCAGTTCGCTATTTACGATTCATTATTCTTGGATTATTTGGTTTATTTCGGAATTAGTTTGATACTTGCTCGCACCAACATGACGTAAAATAAAGCACATGGTATGACTATTTTACATACTAGGGTATTTGGTAAGTTTGCCCGTTTATTAATTTTTTATTTGTGACTTTAACATTACTCAATATCTTATGAAGCATCATTTTGGCGCACTTTATTTTCTCTAATTCTTTTTTTAAATAGAATTGATTTAGGGGAGTGTATTCAATTGGGATTCTGTAGTATTTTTTTGGATTTTAAAAGTCTGTGGGTATTCAATTCAGATTTTAAAAAGTCATTTAAAATCTAGATGTATTCAATTCAGATTTTAAAAAGTCATTTAAAATCTAGATGTATTCAATTCAGATTTTAAAAAATCTTTCTAAATCTAATGGTATTCAAAAATTGATAGATTTTTAAAGATTTTAAAATATGTAGATTTTGATGGATTTTTAGCCCTTGCATATAAATAGAAATCCACTCCCAAATCTAATGCCAGAGGTAGGGATTTTGACAACTCCTTCATGGACTCCTTCGTCATCTCGAGAGGATTTGCCTATTACGCCGGGAACAGTGCCGCGGAGGAAATTGAAGCGGCGGAGATGTCGATCCAGACCGTAGATCTGGATCCGGACCTCTTTTGCAGCGCACAGTAGATCTCGCGGTGGAAGATGTTATTCCGGACCTTTTTTGCAGCGATTTTGCAGCCGAAGGTGCTTTCTTCTCTCTGTTCGCTGTCATTTTGCAGTCGAAGAATTTGCAGCCGAAGATACCCTGCTCTTTCTCTGTTCGCGGCGGAGGGGGAAAAAGGAGAAAAGAACACGGCTAAACTCTTGGGAGGAAAAAGCAAAAAAAGAAAATAAAAAGAAAAAAGAAAAGAAAAGAAAGGAAAACATAATGAGAAGAGGAAAGAAAGGAGGCGGCGTAGGTTCTGGGAGGAAAAAAAAGAAAAGAAAAAGAAAAAAAGGAAAAATGGAAAACATAATCTCCATGGATTATAAATAATTTTCCATAATCTTATAAAATCCTGCTCATAAAATACATTAAAATCTATCTAACTCTTCGTAGATTTAAAATAATCCATTGATTTTACAGAATTCATGGATTTTAAAAAATTCATCATAATCTTTCAAAATCTATATTGAATACACCCCCCTTAATAACTATGCTTGTGTGTTAAATCTAATACTCCCTCTGCCTTTATAAAATTATCACAGATTGACTAAATATACTTTTTCCATAATTCATAATAAATAGATGTTACAATTTAACCAAAAAAATTAAATTGTGACCATTCCTTAAGGACGGAGTGAATATAAATTTTTTATAATGGAATGTAAAAGAGTACGTGGATTTCAATAAAAAATGAAATCCGAATAACCCAAATTCGTCCAAACGTGGCCCATGTCGGCCTTTAATCAACTACTAGCTGCAACCCAAGTGGAGTAGTGCTCTCTTTATCTATCCTAGCCGCCTCTCTTTACTTTTCAACTCGTTGACCAATAATTGCGCCGTACCCCCCTATAAAATCCCCAAATTCCAAATCGACCCCATCCTCACTCCATCTTCTCCGATGAGTTCTTCTCCTCTGCTTCCCGTCACCCTCCCATGGCGTCTGCTTCTTGTAGCTTCTCACCTTTTCGTACTACCCTTATTATTATCAGCCCAGAACCAGAGGTCCACTTACATTGTCCACATGGACAAGTCATTCATGCCCACCGCCTTCCCCACCCACCACCACTGGTACTCCGCCGCCGTGGATTCCCTCTGCAAGCCCTCCACCGTCGGCGACGGGATCCGTTCTTCGCCGAAGCTCGTGTACTCTTATGACCATGTCCTTCACGGGTTCAGCGCCGTTTTGTCGGAAGACGAACTCGGAGCCTTGAAGACTTCCCCGGGGTTCGTTTCTGCTTATAAAGATCGGACCTTTGAGCTTCAGACGACGCACACCCCGAGTTTCTTGAAGCTTAGTTCCGGGGCGGGGCTATGGCCGGCGTCGAAGTACGGGGAGGATGTGATCATCGGCGTGATTGATTCCGGTGTGTGGCCGGAGTCTAGGAGCTTTAGAGACGACGGTATGCCGGAGATTCCCCGGAGGTGGAAGGGTAGTTGTAAGGTAGGGACAGAGTTCAATTCTTCTTTGTGTAACAGGAAGCTCATCGGAGCTAATTATTTTAACGCCGGAGTTCTCGCTGCCAACCCCGGAATCAACATTTCTATGAACTCCGCCAGGGACACCGACGGCCACGGCACGCACACGGCGTCCACGGCCGCCGGGAACTACGTGAAGGATGTGTCCTTCTTCGGATACGCCCCGGGCACGGCCAAAGGAGTGGCGCCTCGGGCTCGCTTGGCGGTGTACAAGGTCAGCTGGAACGAAGGAAGCTTAACTTCCGACCTCATCGCCGGCATGGACCAGGCAGTCGCCGACGGCGTCGACGTGATTTCGGTCTCCATCGGGTACCGGTTCATACCCCTGCACGAAGATTCCATTGCAATTGCGGCTTTCGGCGCGATGATGAAAGGCGTCCTCGTCGCCGGCTCCGCCGGAAACAGAGGTCCAAGTGTGGGTACCATAAACAACGGCGCTCCTTGGATCTTGACGGTGGGTTCCGGCCATACCGATCGGTGGTTCGCCGGGACGCTGACCCTGGGCAACGGGAAGGAATTCAGGGGATGGAGTTTGTTCCCGGGCAGAGCACTGGTCAGAAACGTTCGTCTTCTTTACAACAAAACAGTTTCCGCCTGCGACTCATCGGGGCTTCTCGCCGGAATCCCAGACCCCGGAACTACAATAATCATTTGCGAGAAACCGGAGAACGACGATCCTACCTCAACATTCTCCCAGATGAATTCCGTTAGAGGTGCCGGATTCGACGCGGCAATCTTTATAAACGACGAACCAGGAATTTTCCGGTCGACGACGTTTCCCATTCCCGGAGTTTTCATCAGCCCCAAAGAAGGAAAGGAAGTGATCAGATACGCCGAATCCGGGAAGGACCCAACAGCCACCATCACCTTTCAGCAAACATTCTTCGGGAAAACTCCGGCGCCGGCGGTTTCGGCCTCTTCAGCCAGAGGTCCGTCCCGGAGCTACCTCGGGATTTCGAAGCCGGATATATTGGCGCCCGGAGTTCTGATCTTGGCCGCTTATCCGCCGAATAGCTTCGCCGTGAATATTGGAACCAATATTCAGTTGGGAACAGATTATAATCTGGAGTCTGGGACTTCCATGGCCTGCCCTCACGCCGCCGGAATCGCGGCGATGCTCAAGGCGGCGCACCCGGATTGGAGCCCTTCTGCAATCAGGTAATAAACACTTTTATTGTCACTGGGAAGCTATAATTAAATATTCATGAAAGAAACTCCTTTCATATATAATTTATTCAATCTCCCGTCAGGTCCGCCATGATGACCACGGCTATCACCGTTGACAATACCGGCAAGCCAATCAAAGACGCTGACGACAACTCGGTGGCAACGCCACTGGACATGGGTGCAGGTATGGTTGACCCGAACAGGGCAGTTGACCCGGGTCTAGTGTACGATGCCACCCCACAAGATTATGTGAATCTCCTTTGTTCCATGAATTTCACGGGACCTCAGTTCAAGAGCATAGCTTCGAACCAGAATTGTTCCAACTCGAATCCGGACCTGAACTACCCGTCGTTCATCGCTTTGTATCCTCTCGGAGGAGGAGACAATGGCGTTTACCGCTGGTTGATCCAGACTTTCAAGAGGACGCTGACGAACGTCGGGCCAGGCGCGACGACGTACAAAGCTAAGCTAAATGTTCCCAAGAATTCAACAATGTCTGTGTCTCCCATGACGTTGGTGTTCGGAAAGAAGATGGAGAAGCAGAGCTATAGTTTGACGATCCGTTACAGAGGCGATGAGAACCAAAGCAAGAATGTGGGGTCCATCACTTGGGTTGAGGTGAACGGTAATCACACTGTTTGGAGTCCAATCGTTGTATCAAATACTGTGGAAGTATGGGAATGAAGAACACGAAATCTGGAGAAGAGGATCTTTATATTTTTTTTTTTGTTTTATATGTAAAGATATAGTCCAAAATAAAGTCTTTAATATATTTGGACAGGTACAAAATAAAAACTGGATTATGCTATGTGTATCCCAAGGTTTGTACCCCGCAGCTTTGCACCAACATTTGGTGTAAAACTAATTTTTATTAAACGTACCAATATTTGTGTCTGTGTGAATTTTTATTAACGCTCCAATACTTATGTCGGTGTAAACCATCAAAATGTTTGTGCAAACCTATGGTGTACAAATGAGGTATATTTTTTGGTGTAAGTGTAGCATGGTGTCCATAAAAACTATACCTTCTTATTTTTTTAATTAAGAAATAAAATATGTGACTCGGAGTCTATTCTCTTCATTTAGATCCAGCAATCAGATCTAATGAGTTTATGAAGAGCCATATAGGGTCACTTTGGTAGATATCTGATACTACGCATCTCCCAAGTCGGAAATCATTTAGATCTAGCTCATCTAAAATATAAACCAAACCAAACCAAACAAACCCAATATGTAACAGAGTATTCATTTATTTATTCAATTACACAAAACACTGCTCTCCCGCCATTTATACAAAGTGAGAAAAAATTACAAGCTACACAGCATGTAAGAGGTCCAAAAATTAATGCTTGAAAACTGCAAAAAATATTTGAAAGAGAAGAGGATGCTACTTCAAGTTAGCAAAAGAATTACATATATACATGCACATCCGACTAAACAAAATGCTGTTAGAACTGTCAAAAAACAGAAGGCTCTCCCGACACGATTTTGCCCTTCCTAGTGACACCTCTCTTCGAGGGACCCCACAACGGTTCTCCAGTTCTCCCCGTTGGCCCACGCTGCAATTTAGCATCAAAATGGAGATGTCAGTGGAGGGGCATCTTGCATTCTAACTCGTCATTTATCGCAATTACTCTAAGGCCCCGTTTGGTACACGGAACTCAAACTATGGAATTGGAATTGAGAAGTTCAATTCCAATTCTGGTATTTGGTGGCACAAATTATGTGGATTTGGAATTGGTAGTACAAAAAATGAATTGGAATTGGTGAATATAATTCTATGGAATTGAATCCCATGGAATTTCAATTCCAATTCAATTCTAATTCCATCAATTCCGTATACCAAACGAGCCCTAAGTAAGAATCTTTGGGGAATAACCTCTCTAGCTTTATAGGGCTACATAAGCCGCTCGCCCCAAACCCAACTTGTGTATCAATTCCGTATACCAAACGGGCCCTAAGTAAGAATCTTTGGGGAATAACCTCTCTAGCTTTATAGGGCTACATAAGCCGCTCGCCCCAAACCCAACTTGTGTAATTTACTGAGTTGTATTATAAACAAGATCACTAAGGTTCAATGTCATTTGAACCTTCCCCAAACAAGATATATAGAGTGGCACAAACCTTTTGAAGGCTGATCAATCCACGGTCCGTTCATTACAGTCAAAATGCTGCAAGCTTCGCTATATTCTAGATTAGGCAACAGTTTTGGTGTGAGTAGGAAGCACCTGTAAAACGGCTCGCAAAGCAAAAATCAGTTGAGGGAAGTTGTAAACATAATGGTGAGTTATATAGTTGATGTGTAGCATGATAGGATGTTAAAAACCAAGCTAATTGATTAGTAGAATCTGCGGCGAGTGGTGAGTCTATTTATCATAGGCGTAGTGACCAAAAACAGTTTACTTAGTCATCACCATCATGTAAGCGGTAACCACGCAAGCTGCCAACATGTTCAGCTTCGACAAAAAACCGTAATTTTGGCTAAAACTACACCCAAGTGCCAAGTCGTGGCCAAATTGACAGATTTTAAAAGTTGAGAGTTTAGACAGGATCGAAAATTCACCCTGGTTTTTCTGTTCATTAGGGGTTTAATGATATCGTGGGATCCAAGTTGTTGTTGTTGGGGTTTAATGATAATGCTCAAGGACTCCATATATTGTTCACACAGACAACTATGACCCAAGATTGCTATACTACATCTGACCCAAAAAGATGTGCTTGTTTCAGTATTTGGAAAGTTTTGTGTGGCTCATAGTGTTTCTCTCTCCTCTGTATAAATCCCAACCACACGATTTTTACTTTACTAAAAATGTGTCAAGTCAAACTAGGCATATCTTTTTGGGATGGAGGGAGTATTTTACAGAAGAAGTTACTGAATGAACAAAATGCATCAGATTCAAATTAGTCAACATTTTAAAGAGACAACGGAGAGAGGCTCAGAAAACATTCAAAAGGATTATATAAACCCATAAACTATGATGTTACAACGAGACTAAAGATGTTAGAGTATTGTAGTATCTTAAGAATGATATCATGATTCATCAATATCGTATTAATGGTATGCTTTAAGTAGCTACTGAGAAATTGATTGATTGCCAATGAAGTAAATGTTTTTAATAATATAAGCTAAAACATTGTTATTAAAAAAAACTACTTGAAAACTGTTGAAAGATAGAAGTAGCAATTTTCTTACTGTGGTGTATTAGGTTGGCTGGCTGCTCTGACTAATTGCTGAAACATTTTCCTTTCATTAATTGGATCCATTCCTACACCACCAGGGAAAAAAGGCACAATGATTACCACCCTTATTATTGTAGTCTACTATAGGACCCACAAACTTTAAAATCAAAATGAATTTGAGGTGCTGACCTTGATTTATTTCGTCAACCACTCTAAAAGGGCAAGTAGTTAGGTCTTGAAGAGAAACAAGGTAAAGAATAGTTGAAACAGAGCGTTCCTAAAATAAATCACACAATAAATTAGAAAACCAACAAAAACACCTTATGCATAAGATTTGAATTGTTAAACATACTCCTCCTGATTGGTGGTGGGCACTAAGAATTTGAAGTTGTCCATTTTCCCTGATGAACCAGAAAGCACCAGATCAAAATGAATATTAACAAATGTAAATAGGGGGACAGAAAAACAAACACTAACACAGGAGAAGATTACAATCTCACATGAAAATATGAGGACAGCCAGCAAAGAAATGAGTAGGATGTAGTCTCAAAGAGATAAAAGAGCAAAACATTTTTTTGGACTTGTTTTCATATTCTAGAGCACTAGAATGTCTAGGCATCGCCAATTCATTTGTGCTTTGTTGGGTGAGAGAGAAATAGTGAAGAAGGAATGAAAAAACAAACTCTGAGAAGAAAGAACTGTGTGAGAGAGAAATGGATGGATTTTTCTGCATTTAATGGTATGAGAGAAATAAAAGGGAGAAAAGAGAGAAATGTATGCTTATTATAAATAGACAAATAACCTTATATTACGAAAAGAAATATAAAAAGAGGTATAAATGTTGAAATCAAAAGAAAAACTAATCTCCATCATTTCTTCCTATTAAAGGAGAGAAATCAAAGTGTTTAGGCACCAAATGCTTTTCCTTTTCTTTTTCATATTGTTAGAGATCTTTTATGGGCCTCCAACTAGAAGCTTGACCTTTTGATTGAATTGGATACTTGACATAGTATCAAAGTATTGTTGACCTATAGGTCATGAGCTCAAATCTCATGGCCACGTTTACAAAGTTAATATTCACGTGCAGCGCTTTAGGAAAAACATTTTTGCCTACACGTAAGGGGTCGTAGTAGAGTATAAATCTTCCCTTGGCCTCCAACCACAAGCTTGAGCTTTTGGTTGAGTTGTGATAGAATTTAGGATGGGGTAGTGATAACTGGATTGACCAATAAGACATTTGGGATTTTGGACTGAACCACATTAAAAGAAGGAATCCAATCGAGTAGTTAGTTCAACTCAAGAGCTTATATACTGATTATTTTACTCTTGGACTTCCGATGTGGGATGCACTCTAACACTCCCCCTCAAGTGGACAACCGGGTTATTTTGAATCTAACCGGTTGACCACTTGCAAATGAACTTCCCATTCCCTTGGCTTTTTTTTAGCGCCAACACCTAAAGGACCACGAGCCGCTGGGTATGGACTTTTAGACGAGCAATCGTGTTAAACGGGCCACAGGCCGTTGGGTACATACTCCATACGGACAACTGAGCTAAAGACTAACAGGTCGCTAGGAATGAACATCTAGACGGACACCTTGACAAATGAGGTGGTGTGTTGTTTTTGAAGATTGAAGGGTATTTGTTTCTTATGTACCCTTCGTTATGTGACTTTGTGTGCTACCTTTAAACATAATTTTGTTTTGGTAATGATATTTCGTCATATACATAAATATGATTCAATGAAGATATATACAATGTTAAAAATTTCAATACTAATTGTGATTTGTCGACTAGTAGGCCGACCAGTCGATTAGTCCACTAATCTCCTCTTCACCGACTCAACTCGACTAGTCGCCTTGATAACTTAGCTGTTTTCTTTACTTCCATCTCCTTTTAGTTTAGTAATCATATAGAATAATAAACACTAGGTTGTATGGTTTCTGCATAACTCCCCTCATGTCAGCAAACTTAGTATAGGTACCCTGTTGATATACTCCCTCTGTCTAGATTTGGTTGTCCCCTTTCTAAATTCATTTTAAAGAAACCAGTTTAACCTATGAAATAAATTTTTCAAATGAGTTGTTCATTCATTGATGTCAACAATGCTCTTACCATATCTATAGGATATTTTAGACAATTCATCATAATTTCTTTATTGAATATTGTAAGAGGACAACTAATTCCAAATAAACAAAAACAAGAAAGTAGGCAGTTAAATCCAGACGGAGGGTGTATTCTGTTAATCACTCAAATATACACGAATGCATCATTTAGTACAATGATTTTATCTTATTGTTTTGCCTTGCTGGCAACTGGTGCCTCTTAGATATCCGTGTGACCACCAAAGTTCCATAGTCACACCCCTAATTCATTTATTCGATCAGTGTTCACAAAAACTAGGCTAATAGCATTTTTATACATGTCTCCCCAATAGTGAAGCCTACATCAGTAATATTAACTAACCACATACTCTGCAGGCTGAAAATATGGAATTGGAATTTTGAAAAACATATACAAATGTACCTGAATTGAACTCTAATTAGAATTCCATATTTATCAAAGTCCATATCATGCTCATCTGGAGAGAGAGAGAGAGAGAGAGAGAGAGAACATTTCAGGAACCTCTGTATTTTTCTTAAATAAAATAAAGCCTTCCAGAGTTGGAGGAAGATTTACCCAATGAAACCTCTCCAGCAACAGCCATCTCTCTAAAATTGCGACTGAAAGTGTCATTTATTTCTGAGACAAGGTTTCTCAGTCTTGGAAGCCAACTTTCCTGCAGATGTCATGCAATCATAAAATGCTTCACATAGTGATATAGTCTATAATGGAGTTATAAACCACAAGACTCTTTTAGTGAAAAGACATTCAAATATGTTAATGAAGGAAGAAAACAATGCACTGATGCCACTACCTCCAGCCATGAGCCACCATGAATGAAATATACAAAAAAATGAACTATATATATATATATATATATATATATATATACACACACACACACACACACATACATACATACATACATATATACATATATATATATATATATATATGTATATATGTATATATGTATATGTATATATATATATATATGTATATATGTATGTATTTATGTATATATGTACGTATATATGTGTGTGTGTGTGTGTGTATATATATATATATATATATATAAGCAGGCAAACCAAACCAAGCACCAAAATGCAACATTGTGAAAATCTGCAAGGTGTCAATTACTAGTCTCAAAATTTTACAACTCATGACATGTCTGACTAAAGTATCAACAGCAAAACACAAAGGAGTAACAGAAGGAAGTTGCTGGAGGTGAAATAAGCATGCGAATTAATATCTTTTAAATGACAATTCAATTCTTTTTTATCCATTTCATGACATGTCTGACTAAAGCACACATGATCCTTACCTTTAGAGAATTGATATCTTTTAAATGACAATTCAATTCTTTTTCATCCATTTCATGTTTCTTCGAGAGAGATTCAATCTGCATAAAGCAAATATATCAAATCACATAATGATGCAGAAAAAGACAGTGATTATAGTACACAATAGATTTACTTTTTTCTGGCGTGTCTCATATTGCTCTAGGGAATTAGGGTTAAGGCAAAGGATAGAATTGGCTTGATAAACAGTGTCCTGAATAGCAGCCTCCAGTTCTTCAATCGTGGAGGGCATCTAAAAAAGCATTTAAAAGAAAACATAAAAGTGTTGATAAATAATCAGGACTTTAAATTTCTAAACTATACATTGTATTTTATAAAGCGTATTACCACACCGATCAGAAAATTATAGTATGGTGTAAATAAGACTTTGTTGCTTATTGTACATAAAATAGAAACAAAGAAATGGATACAATTTAAGCACAAAGTAACAATCGTTTTAACAAGAATAATGCATCCCCATTCCCCACAGCTAACTTTATTTGGACATCCATGATGTTTAGGACTAATATTTGTGTTCACATATCAATACTGGTAGTCAATTCGTCAGTGGCTTCAAACTAAAGATGTCATCTAGAAATGCTCAAAGGACAAATGCATAGTCAGTGAAATTCAGTGAGGTAATCAGTGTATATAGAGTATAATTACAAAAAATTTAAAAAAAAAAAGCAAGCAGAATTTGACAATAACTGCATCATTTAGAGCTTAGATTCATCTTTATTCTTTAAATTATTTTCTCAACCAAAGTAAGAATTCTAACACAATATGTTGATAGCAAACACAACACCAAGATTATCCAAAAGTTTCTTAAAACTTCTATGCACACCTTAAGGAACGCTTGTTCCAATTCTGGAGTTATCAATGTGATGGATTCTGCATGCCTCTTAGCAGCTGACAATTGAGCATGACAATCTGCCAATTCCTTTTTGCCTGATCATGAAGGAAAAGAAAAAGGAACCAGAGCTTTAAAAGCTAAACGGAATCAAAACATTTTAATAATTAATACAAACTTCCAAACAGCTTATTTGATTTTGATACACAACTTTTTCTAGTATATAAAATGCATTAATCTTAGATACTCCATCCTTCCCACTATTTTTGGAACATGAGGGAGTGACACGAAATATGGTATGGGACAAAACTATTGGGATGGACAAAAAAAAGTAAAAAGGGACAAAATAGTGGGACGGGGGGAGTATCGTTTAGAAAGTTCAAATTGATACCATTGTCTATTTTATTGTGAACTAAAGTTGGAATACACTATAAGTTGGAATACAAGAATGATAGTGAGTTGCATTTTATCTCAAATATGGTACAAGCGGCAAACAAGCCATGTTCTTGCAAAACAAATTCACATGAATATTGATATACAACTAATTGCTTGTGTATTACCTACAAGTTATCAAAATGCTTTTATTTATGGTTGTACAACTAGGCCTATGAATCTACGATAGTCATCTTGACAATCAAGAAATTAAGTTCTGTATGGACACATGGGTACATTTCATGGCATACCGGAGAGTTGAGTCACTCATGATTTATAAGAAGCTAAAAAGACATTGCTAATAATTATTCTTAGATACTCCCTCTGTCCCACTATTTTTGGGACATGAGAGAGTGCATGAAAATTAAGAAAAGTAAGATTTTGTGGTGGATATTGATGTTAAAAAGTAAGATAAAGTAAGAATCAATGTAAACCACACAAATATGACCAGATATAGTATCATAGTTGTTACAGCGACTGGGCAAGGCCGGGCACTAGAGTACCTTCTGCTCACTTAGGCGATTTGGAGTCCGCCTAGGTGTCCATTAGGCAAGTGCAATATGGAAATATTATATATGTGTGTGTGTGTGTGTGTCTGTGTACACACACATACATATATACACACAATTAAACACACACACACACACAGAGAAAACAAATAGAACACATGTTATTTTATTAAAAAGAGTTCCTAACCGCCTAAGGCGAGATTAGGCGAGAGGCAAGGCTAAGGCAAGCACCTCATCGCCTTAAGCGTTTTCAAGCTAGGCATACAATCTCGCGTCTCCATAAAAATGCCCAGACGCCTAGGCGACACCTTGATAATAATGTATAGTATGGGACAAAACTAGTGAGATGGACAAAAAAAGTAAAAAAGGAACAAAAACAATGGGATGGGGGGAGTATTGTTTAGAAAGTTCCTATTGATATCATTTTTGATCTAATGGTGAATTAAAAAGCCTCGATAACACGATACATGTGGTGTCGAGAAAATTGAGAAACTATAAGTTGGATTGTTGGAATACAAGAATGATAGCATCTCTGGAACCTAAGGGGCACTTTTTCTTTCTATAATTCTAGCCCATTGTATAGTTGTCTATTCATTCAACTTGGCCATTATCCAAGTTTACAAGGTGAAAGTCCATGTCTAGTTTTGAAAAGAAAAAGATATGTCAAAGAGATGTGCTTTTTGGGCTTAATGGTGGCAATTAAAAATCATTTAATAATAAGGGCAAGTTGAAATCGGATCAATAATGATTTAGAAAATGTTAATAAAACAGAACTGATTATAATCCCAACTGAACTGATTAGACTCTTGATGCATTTACTACTCAAAACTTCATAATGTCCACACCAGGGTCAACTATAAACAAGTTGAAACTAGGTCATCCTCAGTGAGACAGTGACTACCTTGTTAATGACGTGAGGATCTCCTGTCAAGAGATGCCCACCCACTTCACAAAATTGGGAAGATTGTAGGAAAAAGTGTGGGCTCAAAATAACCTTTGTGAGGCTGTATGAAAAGAAGGGCCAACCCCATGGAAACAAAGATGAACTTCTTCCACCTCTTGTGGAAGATCAAAACATTCCACCAATATTTGGTGTTTCGATTAGTGTAGATTGAAACTTAACCCCCTATAAACCTTAACTGTGTAAGTATAAGAGTTTTCTAAAGATGAACTTCTCCTTGTACTTACTAAGGAAGCTGGCCAGCCAACCAAGTAAAGATAAGAGTTTATACCAGGTGAGTTGGGGATCCATAATACTCTAGGAAATGAATAAAGAGGTGAGGAGGAATTCGAGGCCCAACTATAACGGAGTATAAACACTAGAAAAGCAAGGCACAAGGACACTTCCCTCTCAATCCAGCCAAGCCACGGCCATAAAAGGGCCAAGCAAAGCCTAGCACTTTCCAAGCTCATCATAGAGAAAGGTTTGGGTGGAAATGCCACACATAATGCCACACATAATGCCACCTCGGGCATTGCCTAAAAATCCGAACCACCCAGCATCGCTCCAACTCTAACCCGCATAAATCACGAGATTAAAGAGACCAAATGCATCAGAGATGGTGTCATAAGATTCCTACTCTCCTCAACTAACTGACCATTTCAGCTAAGAGAATGAGGGCTTATGATGGATTGGGGCCCTAGACCCTGGACATTGTATTCTATCATTCTTTGATGGGTCGCTAGAGGTTGACCCCAACTAGAGTCTTCCACCCTTCAGATCGACCAGATTCCCAAGGTCAAGCTTTTCGTGGGGTCTTCCACAATTTGAATCGGCCACATGCTGGAGGTCGAGACAACCATGGGGTCTTCAATTAGACGTCAGACTCAACCAACGAATCCATCAACTGCTTGATAAATATATGGTGTTGAGAACGCACTAACAACATGGTGCAAGATAGTCTAACATGGTTTGAATATTCAAGACGATATCAGTTTGGGAGTCAGTGGGTTGGAGTTGGTAGGGATCCTAATTATGGGGAAACTTTGTAACCCTAGAAAGTAGAAATTTTATGATGATCACATAATCAATACATACAATCAAAATAATCTTGAGCTCTTAATTTTCTAACTCTTCACAGACCCTACTTTAATGGGAATCTACTTGGTTGTTGTTTTTGGTTATTTTCCAAGTCTTAATAATTTATACTTCCTTTGTCCCAAAATGGATTTTACTCTTTAATATTCCAATATCACGTTAACTTTTGTTTACTTGTGTATTTTCATTGATTATTTGATAAAATAAAATACTCTGGTCGCCTTTTGTTTAATAGAACTTTTGACGTAACTTTTAGATATGTAAGTTGTTTTTTTATTTCTTTACCAATTATTCAATAAAATGATTTTGAAAACCCCGGGGTTTTGCCTCGTAACTCCCTCTGTGTAATTCATTTAGGGACGGAGGGAGTATTTGCGATCGGCCATTGATCATGGTTGTCGTTGCTCCAACCCCGGTGGATTAAGTTCCATCATTAACTCAGTGCAACATTCTTCCAATCTTTGGAAGAGAATCTAGTGTCACAACAAAGGTAGATCTCTAAATAAGTAAACAATAGCAAGCATCCATCATGCCAGAAAGGAACTAAAAAAGAGAGCCAGGATTCCACTAATATAACTATAGCATGTATTTTTTGTTTTCTAGAGGGAAACTATAGCATGTATAGTATCCACTGTTTTACCTAGCTTTTTGTCAACTATTTTCTGGTTGTGACTTCTGACAAGGCAATCATTACAACTAAGGGCTTTTTTGCCTCTATTCATACCGCTAATTCATGTTAAATGCTCATGAGAGCTGATCTATCATTGAAACAATTACATGTATGGAACACTTACATAGCAAAAGAAAATTACACACACACACACATAAATATAACAAAAAGATTGAATAAAGAAAAATGACCCTTAAACTATCTGTGCTTCTTTTGATAGTGGAGTAACAGTTAGCCAATGAAACTTTTTACACTCATCATGGGTCATCTGAAAACAGCCGCTCTATGATTTAACATAGGGGTTAGACTGCGTACATACGACCCCCCTACCCCACAACGGACGGGAGCCTTTGGAGCACTGGGGTAATGTTGTTGTTGTATATATATAAAGGATACAAATAGTGAAGAAAAGCTTGTTCCTTCCAACATCACATCCACGAAGTACTTTATGATAAGTGCATAAGGTTGTTCAGATCGCAAGTTGACTCGTAAAGTTGCATGATCTTATTAGTGAAGGGACGAAGTGTGATCTGGATTGGTGCTAGAGTCGTAAGGAGTGGTCGATGTCCAAGATCGACGCTGTGGATCCCAGCATTCTTGGACAATTCATCTTTACCCAGATCGAAGAACAGAAAAAAATTATAACCTACCCTTCAGATTTCGCCTTATATGCTTCCTTATAAGGCTTCCTTGGTGCTTCATCTCTAGTCTTATTTGAGTCTTCAACTCTGACACATGCTTCTCTAAAGTCTAAATTGTCGCACGTGGGTATCAAATTAATAACAGAACTAATAAGAAGGTTTGTATATTTATAGATGTTCACTATGTTAACTTATTAGTGTGGATGAATTATGACTATCTATTTTAAATTTAAGTTGTTACATAAAGGTGCATTTTATATATTTTACGTACTAGCTAGGAGTCTAGGATCTTACGACCCGATTTATGGTCCCTGATTTACTATCTTCCACCCCTTCTGGTCCTAACTAAGATATCTCGAGTTGAAACCCTCAAGTACATAAGATGCACAGAAAGAACTTACAGTGTTCATAATGCAAAACTGCTTGCTCAGCAAACCTTTCCTGATGCTTGACTTCAGATTCCATCTCTTTAATCTAGAAAGAAAAGCACATAGAGGTTAGAGCCAGTTACAAAACCACATTGTGATTTGATGCAGATGTTGCAACTTGCAAGATACATACAATGGTGCTAATAGGACCAACATGCCTAACAACTAAAGCACTGCAAATCTAATGGGTTTAAAATTGCAAAACGGTCTTGTTAAATGACAAGGCTACAATTTTTGGAGTTCATATCTGAATTAGTCCCTCAACCATTCAATAGCACTCAATTTAGTGCCTGACATTTTTAATTCAATTTTACACTCGACTATGGAACTGGTCACAAGTTCATCCTTGCAAGATTGGCTCTAATTTAGAAGACTTTTTTGTCCATTTAAGTGGTATGAGTACTAATTTAAGCATTTGAAAAAATGTCAAGGACAAATTAAGTAATACACATTACACAGCATAGTGTATAGTCCTATAGTCAATGAACTAAATTGTTTATTAATTCCAATAAGAATGAAAATTCATCAATTCCTGATTATACACTATTATAAGTCGGTAATTGAAAATACATACTACGTATTTTTTAGTCTATTTTTCAAATCTAACTAAAACTACCATATTTAACGTATTTGTGATTTATTTTGAGAAGTTTGATAGTAAAAAAATATCAGCTCTATTTGTTTAAACAATTTTTTAGATGCTACATCCTCCCTCCGTCCCCAAATTAAATTCACGCTTTCATTTTCCATTCGTCCCAAAATAAATTTGTTTATCCACTTTCCTTTTCAAGAATGAATGTGGCTCTTAACACTTCTCTCTCTTCCAAACAAATTCCAACCATAGATTATGAATTTCACTACTTTTTCTTAAACTCTGTTAAGTCTCTTAACCTCCGTTAAGTCAGACCATGAATTTAACTCGAGGACAAAGGGAGTATAATGGAGATGATAAGAAAGAGTTTTCAAACATTTTTCAACAAAAAGAGTTCAGTTTCAACAAATAATATACTCCCTCCGTCCCAAAAAGATTGCCACGGTTACTATTTCGGTTTCTCGATAACTTTTACTTGTTTACTCGCTTTCGGTGATCATATGATAAAATAGAATATTCTTGTTGCATCTTGTTTTGTAGAACGTTTGATGTACTTTTGAACGATGTAATTTATACTTTTAATTCCTCTACCATTTTCTAAATAAAATAATTTTTAAGGAGATGATATTTTGTACGTTGTTTGAAATGTGGTAAACATTTTGGGACGGAGGGAGTATATATTTTTATTATCTTCTCAACAAAGAATAGTAAATATGTTAAGTATTACACCCTCTGTCCGGATTTAATCTTCTCATTTAATTTTTCTTAGTCAAAGTTTGTAAAATTTGACCTCGATATGCAAAAAAAGTACATTGTGTTTTGATATAAATGTAATATCAATAATTTTCTTTTGAAAAATATATTTGAAATATAAAAAACTCATAAAATATATCGATGTATAAATATAAAAATAATGGTCAAAGTGCTACATTGGAGACCGTGAAAATTCAAATGAGAATAAATTTGGGCTGAAGTACAATTTAGTTAAATAAACAAACAAACTAAAAATATATAAGAGAATAATCAATGACATATAATAGTGTATACTTAAAGAATCAATTGCTTGCATTCTTAATAAATTTAAGACACATTTTAGTCCATCAAGAATACATTATGTTAGTTAACTTCATCATCCGCTCTTAGACTCAATTTGGTCCCCACTTGAGAGAATACAAATGCTCTCTTAATATGAGCCAATTATTTTCGATGACTAAATTAGGTCCAGATCACAAATTCAAAGATCAAAGAGTTTTAAAAAGTCTTATTTAATTGAGTAATAGTGAATTCTTGAGGAATTAATTCAGGTATTAACACTTCTTATATGACTTTCAATAAACACTATTATAATGTGTATGTAGAGAAATAATAAACCCAAACGTAATGGGAAATTGGGAATGTAAACAAGGTTTTGAAAGGCAAAATCGGGCCTCGAGGAGGTGGGACTCTATTGCATGAGGCATAAGCCTATCGACATGGCAAACTGTAAGCCTCAATTTAAGAACTTTCACAAAATCATGATAAAAGTCTGTGGATCAAGAATGAATCCTGTTTGCCTTTTGGCCGACCCAATAGATAAATTGACGACCTCACGACCTGACCCATTCTCTTTTGCATAAGATTGAATCGGATGGTAATTCAATGATTCGACTATCAAGCTAGATGATCCAGGGTCTAAAACATGATCCAGATCGGGCCGAGGTACACTGATCCTAAAATAGTGCAATCTAGATTGCGATTTTAACATCCCTGGAAGAAATGGTTTATGAAAAAACATTTCCAGTGCTTTATAGATGATGCAAAACCTTAGGAGGAGCACATAAAGAAATAGATATATGCATAATGTGAAGTAAAGAAGAAGTAATTAAATGCAACAGTAAAAATAATTTGTCATTACTTCCAATCTATCATGCAGCAAGTTTAACATCCCAGGAAACGGTAACTTGTTTATGTCATTACCAAAAAAGATGTACCTTAAATTCCAGCTCAATCAAGGCCATGCTTTGTTCTGCATAACCTCTTCTATCAGCAACAGCCTCGATGAGTAGAGTCTAAAAATCGAAAAGGAACATTTCTTAACCAGGCATACATTTTTAGGCTATGTCTATGAGAAGAGAAATGAGTAGGAAATTCACCTTGAGTTGACCTGCACACTTGAATCGCTGAACCTTCAGTTCTGTAACCTGTTTACTTAAGTTAGCAATGATGCTATCCAAGTCATTTTCTCGTTCCAAAGATTTTAACCTCAACTTCCGCTGATCTACAGTTGGATAATTATCTTTGTCAATTTACAACTTCTCAAGAGAAAAATGTCAAAACTACATAACAAATAGAATACATTATTTCACGATAAATATAGTAAGTATGTAAGATATTTACCAACACGCTTTTCCAAATCATTTCGTTTTCTCTTCTCCATATATGACGCATTAATAAGCTCCTCCTAAAGAAAATAAACTTTAAAGGTCACTATTTATGCTCAAAAAAACCAAGAGACAAATGTAAAGAAACAAAACTCAAATGTAAGGGCTTGTTTGGTGAGCTTTGGAGAAATGATATGATATGGGCTTTAAAATCATGGAGATATGATATGGGTTTATTAAAAAAAGTGTTTGGAGAAAACAAAAATGGAATCGAGTCATTGTCGCAATTTTTAGGTGGGCATTCAGAAAATCAAAAGTAATTACAAATCAATTAAATTTTCACAAAAAAAAAATTAGAATCTTTTTTGGATTAAAAAGAACAGTGAAAAAGCAGGTTCAAAAGTGGCAGTGAAAGAGTGCAGACCCCACCTTCAAGAGAAAAAAATGAAGAGAAAATAATTGGAATTATTATGGAGTTTTGGAGACTTAACTACAGAGTTATCAAATTTGCAGCGATTGAATGTGAAGAATTTGAATTTGGTGGCTTCTTTACTGAAGAAAACTCACAAAATTGCAGAGGAGAAGGGTTTTGAAAGCGGAACTTTTGATATCGGCAAAATTACGCCGATATGGAGTCCCCTTATTTTGGAGAGTTTCCATATCCCCTTATTTCAATTCTGATTTCTTTTTTATTCTCACAAAAAACATCTATTTCCAAAATTTGATATCTAAGATGTCCAAACCCATATCTTTTTTCCTCACCAAACATGCCCTAAATGTAACGAGATAGAAGTAAACCCCAAGATGTGCAGAGATACTCATAAAGTTGAGAGGCAAATAAAAAATGACCTAGATAAAAGAGCATGATCTAGTGCTACTTATGTCATAAAAAGAATCATGTTTCAAGAACAGTCACAAAAAAGAGCCATGTTTTGACAAACTGATGTTAAATGTAATTTATCCGAAAAGAGTAACGGACTGCGGACAAGTTAAACAAAACAAATCTAGTTAAACAAAGTGTTAAATAATTAATACTCCCTCTGTCCAACTTTTAACATATAGCTTCTGTTCTAGTCTGTACCAAAATAATGGCATATATCATAGTTAAACACAAATAATTTTTACCTTTGACCAACTTAATCCTTTCATTTTTTAAGGGGTCCCATTTTTCCTTCATCGTCCAAAAGAATAAACTTGTAAAGTAAATAAAATTACCTTTATTTTTAAGTGTGTCAAACCCAAATGCATCTTATATAGGACAGGATAGAGTAATACAAAGAGCTACCGCATCCAATAATATCACAGACCACAATTTCATAGTACATAGCTTTAGCATCGCACATAGTTTTGAACCCTTTGATTTACTACTTTGTGTTTCAGTAGAAGCATCAAGCATGTCATTGTATATTTGTAATCTCATTTGAATCAAGCAACAAAAAGTCTTTTATTACTCTTAAAGACAAGTCCCAACCATCAACACAAGAAAATAAACTTACAAAATAGAAGTAGGATTAAAGATTAATGTACCTTACCCAGACTATAAACATGTACTTGGGTCAATTATGACCACTTTTGGGGGTGGAGGTAGTTAATGTATTTATTCAGAAATGTATGTATTTATTCAAAATTATAACTGTGCAAGTAAAAGACCAATGAATCCTGTGCATTTGCGAGTAAACGGTCAAGCAATAGTTACTAGCTTTGAGTAAACGGTCACACCCATGGTTACTAGCTTTGAGCAACTGCTAGCTTTGAGTAAACGGTCACACCCATGGTTATACTGCTAGGTGGACTCCATGCAGCTCATATCAGTATGAGTTCATATGAAGTTCAATCTTAATGAAGGTGCATTGAATCCAAATAAGAAACCATTAGAATTAGCTTTTATATTAATTTGTCAAATCAAATGAACAAATAAGTACAATCTAATATGAACATGAAGTTCATTCGTAATGTCCCATTGTCCATAAATATTAATATCTTAAGATACACTTGTGAAGAAAACAAAGTAATCCTTGGCTCATGATAAAGGTTGTGTTTGGAAAATGGCTGATCAGCCTTTTTTGGCTATTGACCAGCAACGGCTAAAATCACTCCACAATTAATTGTTTGGTAAATAGCCGTTTTGTTTAGCTGATTGGCTTGAACAGCCAAATGTAGAAAAGCTAACATTTGTAGCGTTTGAAGTTGACCGTTCACTTTTTTCCTTTCCCCAATGTGATTTTTTTAGTGCTCTCCAATTTTTCAACACTTTTTTTTATATCTGTAAAATTAAATTATCAAATTTCTTAAAAGACGAATAGTGTTTGTAAACTTTCTTAAAAGACAAGAGTTCTATAAAATAAGAGGTGATATAAAATGATCCATGAAAATACGGATAGAAAATATTACCGAAATAACTCTTAAGTTATGCACAGTACTCCATAAGTGTAAAGAAGTTTTTGGAACGAAAGGATAATTTAATACTCATTTGCTTAGTCGGGGGTCTCTTGGAAACAGCCTCTCTACTCTTGAGTAGGGGCAAGGTCTGTGTACACACACTCTACTCTCGTGGGATCCAACTAGGTTGTTGTTGTTGCTTATATGGTGTGTGTGTGTGTGTATTTTTTTTACCAAAATTCTAAAATCAAAGTAATTTTTTTTGTACAAAAAAATCAAAACAAAACTTTAGGTAACACATACATAGAGCCAACGACCAACAGCTAATCTTCAAATAAGACCAAAGTTTACTGGGGTACTAGAATGAATAACAAAGAAATATTCTAGCTTGATAGGGATAGGATATATATAGAATCTGGGGCGCACACTAAACAAGGAATTATTTTCATAGAGCTACATATAAAATACTTTTCCTGATAAACCTAAGACGATGTCATTAACAGATCTGGTGCATGTTCAAGATTAAAGTCAAGCTATATCTTCTCGATCAAAACCACAATCGCACAAGAATATCAATGTACACATGCATACCATTTTGATAACCAACACAAGCACGCATGCACACATGGAATTCATATCTACATGCATATAATGTACTGTGTAGAAAATGTTGGATAAATAACACTATAACTCTGTATATATTTACCTCCTTAAGAACAAATGATTTTTTCAATAAAATTGATGACATCAATGCATTAAATATGTTTTTAATGCAAACATGAGGACTCTAACATGAATGTAGATTCAAATCTTGATGTAATATGCTCCATGGCAACACCTTCCCACATAAGAAGAAAAGAAAAATCACATACCCGTTCCTTTTCAAGTTGAGCTCCTTCATTTTCTATGTTTCTTAGGTCAGCCTTGATTGTCTTTAATTTCTCCTCCAAATAATGGGCAGTTTCATTCAGCTCACTTTTCTGGCTCTTGAGCTTGTCAACCTCTCCAGCTTCCATATCTAAAAACTTAAATATATTGGTACGTAGAAAAAACTTTTGGGAAAATGTACAACAGGCCCAGTAAAATCCCACGAAGTGAAGTTGGGGCGGTATGTGTAACCAGACCTCACCCCTCAATAGTAGAGAGGCTGTTTCAAAATGGAAGGCATAAGAGTTACTGAAAAATTTAGCAGAATAAAAATGGAAGGCATAATAGTTACTGGAGTGGAGAAGACGAGAATGTTTAACAGGTTCCACAATTGCAGAAACATTGGGGCCATATCTCGATTTGATCCATCGGTAATGGCTCTCTGGTGTCCAGAAATCAGAAATTCCTAATCGTGATATTAGATCAGCTCTTTGGTCAGTCTCTCTGGATCCTATATACTGAGAAGAGAGGGAAAATGTGCGTACATGTTCTGAAGGTCATTCTATCAAAAAAATGTCAATTCCTGTAAAAGGAAACTAAAGTACGGGGCAAACCGAATGTTCCAGCCCAAATTGGCTAATCAGAACTTCTTTGACAGCAACTGGAGCATCAAATACTTGATCAAGCCTGGAATAAATGCCTAGCTTACGCATCTGCATATTATATTTATAATAAAGTTCAAGTCAATGATTGTTTGTGCAGTTGGACTTCTTGAAGATGAAATGTATTTCCTCTTCTCTAGCTTTCAATAACTTGTTCTCTTTTTAGTGTTTAATCTGACTAAGATGTTCATATTACTCCCGTCCCTTTGTAATTGTCCGATTTTGACTTCACCCAGAGGTTAATGAAGGTCATTTTGTAGGATTGGAATTTATGTGCGAGAAAAATGTTAGGGAGCACACAACTATTTCCTGACCCACCCCAGACCCCACTTGTGGGATTACACTTGGTTTGTTGTTGTAGTTGTTGTATTTAGGGGCAGCTTGGAAAGGAAAGTGGGATAATAAAAGGGGGTGGAGCGAGTATGATGTTTTATGAGTTCTAAGTCAGATAAGATCATAAGCAGAAAATAATAAAAAAGTCTCAAATGCATACACCCACCTCCTCAGACAATTGAAAAGGTGATCTGTCATAACCATCAGACCCTGTATAATTTAAAATTGGGACATCGAATGACTTCAGGTTCCTAACCAAGAAGTCGCGGTCGGCCGAATCTTGTGTAATAAATGCCTGCATGTGGAAATATATACAAATACGAGAATACAGTGTGAACATAAAAAACAATCCATAAGAAAGCTATTCAAGGTCATGGAAAGTTAACAAAGGTTTTCATAACTGTTGACTACTCGACTATGTACTTAAATATCCGCTTTCTTTACTCATTCCTACTAAGCATCTGTCTGTTGCAGAAATAAAAGGGAGCTTAAAATGTAGATAACTGAAATCAATTATAAAGACCAATAAAGCTGAGCTGGGTTTACCTTCCAGGCATAAAATGGAATATGACCTTCGAGATAATTTGCATGTGTCATGTTTGCAATGTTCACCTATGTTTGAATTTCGCCCATCACCCCCCATAAAAAAAACATCAACAGCAAAAACAACAAACAAAAGCAGACGAAAAAGCTATTTATGAAGAGTAACTGGTTAAGCATATGAAACAAATGAGTGATTAGCCTTACATACCTCTACCAGAACTGGTCCATAGACATCCTTCTTAAATTGATTACGATGCTCCTTCACCCAACGATGAGCCTCGAAAATCCTTTCAGTTCCAGAGTTCTGCAATGCGCGCAAGCGCTTATTGTTTGTATTCTCCATTTCAGTCAACCTACAAAGAGTTCCATTCAGAATATTTTAGAAGCATTCGACCATTAAAAATAATAAATTTAAAAATACAAGCGGGAGACTATACTTGTCCGCTAACTGCCTCGAGGTAGTTCTATTTCGTTCTAGGGATCTCTCAGTTTCTGTTTTCTGAGCCCTTAGTTCTCTAGCAGCATCTTGCAGCTCAAGGATTTTAGTGCACAAGCCTTCCTGATAAATATCCACTTTAGCAACAAAAAATAGCAAGAGAATGCAATTGAAAAGTATAATGGAGGATTATCCATGTAACTACTTCATCTCACACAGACACATGCATATACATACTCAATTATTTCAATATAATGTATAGTTGCAAGAAACATTAAACCTACAAGTTGGTCTTTTGGAGGTCCAGAGGTAGAAAAATTTGAAAGCTCTAACTCAGCATCTTTGAGATCACTTAGAGCTTTAGAAAGCCGTTCTTGACGGGACTCTTCCTGCCTCCTTATATCTTCCATTTCTTTAAACTTTCCATGTATTTGTGAACTCTGAGAATTATATTAGAAAAAGGTCAGCATGAATGCATGATTCCACTCTAGTAAGAACAAACAGATTGGTTATTACATTGACAATTTTAGATAGAATACCAAAATATTATCACGATCCAGTATTTGCATGCGCTTTTCAGCATTGTTGTCCATTAGTTTTGCCAATTTCTTACATTTACCATCCTGTGTGGCTCTCTCCCTTTTCTGTTTCCTGAAGCAAAGTAGTCAGATAACAGTTGACAGGCAGAGCAGCAACGGCTAATGAAATCGCAAACAAATTTAAACTTCCAAAGAACATATCAAATATGGGTTGCCAGCGGCCAGTTTCTCGGAGATAATAATAGAAGAAAGTCACTCTAGTGTCTAAGCTAATAATAGAAGAAAGTCAATCTAGTCTCTACAACAACAACAACCCCTACACAAAAGTAGAGAGGGTGTTTCCAAGAGTCACTCTAGTCTCTATTCTAGATAATTCCAATTTTCCTGCAAGGGCAGTTCAGTTTGATCTAATCATTTAAAAAATCTGTAACTAACAATTCATATTGCCTTCTTGATTCAGGTTCAACCATCTGATAAATTAAAAAGTGCATTTAAAATATATTTCAAAAAGAGGGCACTTTTCAGAGACAATACTGTGTATTGAATTGAGCAGGCTGACTCACTCGATTGGTTCCATGAGTTCTTTCAAAGTCTTAGCTGCATCATCCAGCTTTCCCTTGGCATCTGTCTCTCGGTTTTTGGCTTCCACATATGCAACTTTCTTAATGTCATATTGCAGCCATGGAAGTTTCATTTTCATCTGGTCAGCCTATGCAGAATAGACAAAGTCATTTAAGCTGCATACTGGTAACAATATATAAGTAAAATCGACAAACCTGAGCTAGGAGTAGATCCCTCTGACGGAAACGTTCAACATCACCTTCAATTTCAGCATTGGCTTGCTTCAGTTGATCTAAAGTTTCTTTGCTACTCTGTATAGTCTGAAATAGGCAAGATTTTTTAAGTCTTTTTCTCTTTATGAAAATTACAGAAATCAGAAAAAACAAATAGGTTCAAATGAAACCACATATGAGAATGAAGTGAAGATGCTAAGATAGAACTCACTCGTTCAAGTTTCTTCAATTCCTCACTCTTAGTCACAAGTGTATTGTGCATGACAGGCAACCTAGGATCACCCACAGCTTTCTCAGTCTCTTCAAGGAGTTGAATAGGAGTCAGCTTTGCAAACTCACATACTCTGTCTTGTGGTAGAAACTGGTGACATCCCCCAAGAAAAGACAGGCAAATAAGTATGGAGAAATACCAAGGATTTTACAATAAAGTAAAATTACCCTTTGATTTATATTCTATATTCCCTGAATAAAACATCTTTTATAGTATTCAAAACTAATCAAATACCACATCTTCAAATAGAGTTTGGAAAAAAACAAATTATAAGATCAGGTATAATGTTAACTTTGAGGATTTGGAAGGGAACAAGTGGGAAGGGACAATAGAAATAATTGCAGAATTGAACAATACGTAAATAACTAAAATGTATCACTCCGTGGTTTAACAAATTTGTAATTGGTTTTAACTGTTTTTATTTTGATATGTAAGTATGTAATTTATTTGATGAATTTTTTTTAATTATTTTTATGCAGATATATTCTAGATTTCTATAATGTGTCACGTGTGTGTTTGTTTATTACTTCCTTTGTCTCTTTTAATCTTCCCATTTACTATTCACTGAGTCAAACTATATCTTCTTTCCTTGCCTATTTTTTCTATATCATTTGTTAAACTAAAATAGTCATTACCTCTTGGCTTGTAGAACTTTTGATGTAATTTTTAAATGTATAAATTTTAGTTTTAATTTTTACAAAAATATTTAAAAAAATTAAATTGAAAATGACATCAATCAAACATCGTAATACGAAAAAAGAAGATAAAATAGGGATGGAGGGAGTATTAATCTTGGGTTGTGAATTTGGGATGTGTTTGTTTGTTGTTTGAAATCTCATCTTGAACTATGGTGTGTGATCAAGTCATGTGTTTATGTTTAACTCTCTTTGGACTTATAATCATGCACATATTTAGTTGGTACTCAATAGGTAACTGATACGACCTCTAATAATATTATTAAAATGATGCTCATGTTCGTAGACTTTGAGTCACTAATATGAGAATGTTTTTGTGGACGCGCGATCATAGGAGGATGGATACGATTCGAAATATGAGGGAGGGAGGTTGTAGGAAGGTAGACTAAGATGATTTGGGCATGTACTGAAGAGTTGGGCACGTAATGAAGAAAAGTATGCATGCCTAAGTGAGGTGTGAGAGCTTGAGATAGGGGGCGTGAAGAGGGGTAGAGGTAAATCTAAGAAGAGTTAGAAAGAGGTTATTAGGCACGACTTATGGTTTCAGGATCTTAAGAGGATATGGCCTTAGTTAGGTCTGGAGATCACGATAGGGTAATCCTTTGGGTCTTAGTTTGTGGTTTCGACTTGCACGCTTTTGTGCCTTAGAGATTGTAAATTCTGTCTGTTTGCTTCTTCTGTTTGTACACTTTGCTCGTGGAACTTTCCTTTGTCATTGTATTATCTTGAGTCGAATATCTCTTCGAAGTTGTTTCTCTACTTTTCAGATAAGTGTGTACATACAACCTCCTCAGACCCTACTCTTTGGGATTTTTCATTGGGTATGTTATAGTAGTAGTTTTCTGTTACTATTATTATTAGCTTCCTAAAATTAAGATTCCTCAACAAGGATTTATGTTTCCTATTATGATTATAGTAGGTCTCTTATAAGGCTTTGCCAACGTGTACTCACACGAACAATAATAAAACCATCAGTGGTTCAAGTTAAATCTCTAATTATGAGAAGCTTGTCACAGATTACTCTCACCTCCTTCCAGCCACAGGCAAAGCAGGACCGATATCTTCTTTTACATTCACAATAGTAACCCATTAAAATGTTTACTTGTTGGTACCTTTTTAGGCTTATGCCACAAAGTGCATCAAGACTTATGCCTCACCTCTTTAAAACAAACTGCCTTGATACCCGAACTAGCCTTTTTAAACCTTGGGAAGAACCTCATTGGCCTTACCTTTGTTGAAACTAACAGTACTGATATGGAAGTGTTGTAACATCAGTTGCTGATGTGACAAGAGATTCAAGATGAGAGGAAATGGCTGATAGTCGTCGAGCCACAATTTCAGGAGTATAGGACAATTAATGGGGTTCATGAAGATGTGATGGGTTCTGAGGGTTCATGGCAGTATGGTTTCCAGCAGGATTGTGGGAGTTGTTAGCGAGGGGGTTGGAACTTTGAAGATTCATTATGATATTTAGTTCTTTGAGTTTTCACCATTGTGGATGGTCGGATCGAACCGCGCTAATACTAAAATGATAGGTACTTCGAAGATATTGGAAGTGAACAAGTGGGAACGAAGATTGAAGGTTGCAGAATCTAAGCAATACTTCAAGAAAAGATTTTAATGAAAATGGCCCAAAGAAAAGGAAGGTAAATAATCAAACTACTTATGGAAATAAAAGACAGGCTTGTTATGTTTAATTCATTAACAAAAATAATGCACTATGGAGGTCCAGAAGGAGATTTCGTGGCTAAAAAAACTGTGGTTACATACTTACATACTTCTTGTCCATAGAAAGCACAAAGTGAAAAGGCAAGGAACTCACTTGAGTCAAGTTGTTCACTTGGATGTTGAATCTTTGTATGATTTCAAGTACATGCTTTTTTGGCACAACTTTCCCTGAAAGACAAATGTCGCATATGTTAGCTAGCATCTAGGATAAAAGTTACAATTCACATGGAAGTATGGAGCAATAAATTCTTTTTAAAATACAGGGTATATGGCAACCATCACTAATTCATTGATTAGAACATAAAAAATGGACCAAACAAAATGTAGTATATAATCCAGCCCAACTTATATCACAGGGTGAAAAAAATTAAACTTAAGGGGATGAAAACAATAGGATGCAAGAATTTATATGGAAATACATTTGTAATAACTTGAAAGTGAAACAGTCTATGCCTTTATATGTAGGGGTAAGGTTTGCATACACCTAAGCTCCACATACCCCACTTGGGTTGTTATTCCTGTTATTATTGTAATAACAAACATTAAAGTGAAACTGTAGATATTCAAGGCCCAGTTTGGATGACCTCTTTTTCAGTTTACTGACTACTATAAGCACTGTGATAATTTTTAGTGTGTTTGAATAAACTTGTGAAGAAATATTGTGGATTTCAATCAACTGTAATGATAACATGTCTATAAGCCATTTCAGGGAGCTCATCAGTCATCAGAATGAAATATAGCATTTCAGAAGTCAATAGAAGGTCCGTTTTATGCCCTTAATTTAAGAATACGATTTACCATTGGATAACCATTCGGACTTGTTTTTGGCATCTATCTTCCGTGTGATGTTAAGTGTCTCCTCCTTAGAATCTCCTCTCAATAATATTTTAATATTACCTGAATCTTCACCACGCTTTACAAAGGCTCCAATACTAGATGCTCTTCCCAAAAGCTACAAATAAAAAAAACAGATCTGTTGTCATGCAAATGCAAACAAATTAATCAAATGATAGGAGTAATTCTTTTCACCACAAACCTGAGGCTCCCCGCCAAGGCCAAGTGCAATTGCACAAACAAGTGAGCTCTTACCGGAGCCATTAGGTCCAATTACAAGGTTTAACCGTGAGCCTGGTTTGCACTTCAAGTGACTAAATGTCATGAAATTATGAAGCTCAATCTCTGTAATGTTACCAGGCATATAGTCATCTTCTCCCCTACATATTTAGATAAACAAATAAATCATTGAACATAGGAATATTGTCTAATCATGCTCTCCCTTCAGACTGACACCATCACCACCACAACCACAACAAGAACCCAGTTGGATCCCCCCCCCCCTCAGACTCACACCATGTGAAGAAAATCAAGTATTAGTAATCTTGTAGAAAATAAAAAAAAAATTCATATAGGCCATGTGAGAATAGCCTTCCCATATAACTGCCAAAACATGGTTCACATGATTGAAGAAACACTTCTTCAATTTCAAGGGCAAACACAGTTGGATCCTAGGAGAGTATAGACTCGAGAGGGTGTGTGTACGCAGACATTACCCCTACTTGAAAGTAGAGGGGCTGTTTCCAAGAGACCACCGGCTCACGCGGCACGGATAAAACAAGATCATAGAAGACACACAGAACAGAGAGCACAAGGCACAAAGAGGCAAAGAGCATACTAAAGTTAACGAAGGAAAGCACTGCAAAGAGATAACACCAAGCATACAAAGCACCCAACAAAAATGCGGCAACTACCACCTAACCCAAAACGCCTACCGAACTATTCTAATCCTAGCTTTCCAACGCTCCTATCTAAGGCTATATCAGCAGTATGGGCAAGAAGCCAAGAAGGCCTAGGTCTTGTCTAATCACCTCCTTCCAATTCTTCATAGGTATACCCCTTCCCCTACTCCCGCCCACCAACATAAACCCCTCATCTCCGCATTGGGGCGTCAACACTCCACCGTCTCACATGTCCAAACCACCTCAACCTAGCTTTCTGCATCTTATCTTCCACAGCTGCCACGCCCACCCGTAAACACGGCATAGAATATAAATATCGACTCTCAAAATATTTCTTCAAGGGCAAACACAACATAGAATATAAATATTGACTTTTGAAATATCTCTTTTCAGTTTAATGTATCCAGCAAGCCAATAAGGGGAGACAGTGTATAAGATTGTCTGTGCACGTACGCGCACATATATAAATAAAACCGTTGGAGCATCTCCAGTAGAGCTAGCTATTTACATCTTTTGTCAAATTTAAGTTGTTCCATATTTAGTATGCAATTCCAGTGCTATGATGTTGCTAGCTAATTTAGCTAGCTCCTCTTCATTAGCCAAATCAGTTCAGACTTCCAGACATTAAAAAAATAATATCTATCTCTTCTTTACGTTTTCAGCCACCATTTAATGATTAATTGATAATTATTGGGAAAATGAAACGTTTACATGTTCTTGTTACTTACATACTCCAAATAGTCATATTGGAGTATGCACATTCCTGATACATTTCAATATAGCTAATGTATTTTATACTCCCTCTGTCCAAAAATCAAATTCTCACCTTGACTTCACAAAGTTTAAGAAAAATGTTGGAAATGAGAGTGTTGTTGGACTTTGTTAAGAAGGGAGAAATATTGTGAGTCATATACTTTTTTTCCTTTAAAGGAAATGTGAGTTGTTTGCATTGGGCCAGAGTGAAAAAGAGAATAAGAATTCAATTTTTGGGATAGGAGTATATTATTTTAAAGAGTGATTCAGATAGTAAGATCATAGGCTGTCGGCTGAATTGGTACAACCGTCCTTAATGGTGGAGGGGAGGGGGGAGGGGGGAAGGGGGATAGGGATACTCTGTATTAGAAAAAACATGTTTAAGAGGCAATAGCTTTTAACATATATCAACCCATAAATTCAGAATTGAAATAGATAAAGATCATAAAGCAACAGAGTAACAGGATACCAAATGGTACTAAACTGGGAACGTCATGAACTCCAAGATTTTCAGACTGCTAATGAAGTATGTGAAAACCCTAACAGTTCAAGAATGCAGACAACAAAAACGTGAAAACTATTGAGAGAAGTACTTTTCTTCAACATGAGTTCAAGCGAAGAAGACGGAGCGCGCTGATCGAATTCCAACCAATCAAATTACTCCGATAGTCCAGTATATGTAGACGTTGATTGAGAAAATGCGTATACGGCGTTAGAATGTTCGTAATTGGGTTCGCGTAATCTTTCATAGGCCGGACATACCTTGTAACCTTCATTCTTTTAGAACTGGGCTCTGCCATGAGAGCTGACGAGGGTTTCCTGCCCGGGAAGATGACGACGGTGGCAACTGGCAAGCCGCTCTACTGCTTTGTGGTAGGTGTGGGCTTTTGGCGCCAAATTGGGGAGCATGAGAGATGAAAGGACCGCATTCTCTGACTTGGCAGACTATAATAAGGTGTTTCGCGAATAGGAGTAAGTTTTTATATGTCCCTTGATTACAATTTAAAAATTACGAGTCAAAATTTTATACTATTTTTTAAAGTTATTTTATTTAAGAATTGATATAAGAATAAAAAATATAATTTATACATTTAAAAATTATATTTTGATAAATTTGAGTTGAAATTATGTAAAATTAATTTGAAATTGATCTAAATTGACTTGAAATTGGGTATAATTGAATAGTTTTTAAGTTGAATTATATTTATTCATTAGTGTTTTCAAAAAAAATGTATTCATTGGTCAATTTGAGCTACAAAGTTTTGAAATTATGTTAGTCTTGTTTTTAGTTCATAGTGCTAAAATTGTTGATTGTGGTTAAAAATTGTTGTTCGTTAAACGTTATTGTTGATATAATTTGTGGGTAAAGATTGTGGTTGATATTCGTGGTTAAATGATGATTATTTGTGATCAAAGATTGTTGTTTGTTAGAATTCATTGTAGATATAGTTTGTGGTTAAAGATTGTGGTTGATATTTATGGTTAAAGATTGATGTTTGTTTACTTTCAACTACCAAACATTATTTCTAAAATATGTTCATTCGAAAATCGTGAGTTGATGTATAAGGAATATGAGAGAGAAGGTGTTGTTAGTCGGAAATGGGTGAACAACGTTGTCGAGTTTGAAGAGTATTATAAGTCAATTCCCAATGTTGATGGGTTGGATAACAAGAAAATGCATTATCCTTGCAAAAAAATGTAAGAACATCAAGTTTAGCTCTTCAAAGACTATATTAGAGAATATTTTGCAGTATGATTTCACAACCAATTATTTCGATTGGGTGTGTCACGATGAGAAGCATGGCATCTACGTACACCCACAATGACGTAAAGTTCTCATAAAGTTGATGCCTCAAATGAATAAGATATGGTAGGTAGAGAACGATTTGTAGATATGGTCTTCGTTACTTTCGTCTTGACTCATTCGTCTCAGTTCTTGAAGAATACCTAAATCCGACACATAAGAAATTCTTTGAAATATTGAAAGATATTGAAAGATATCTCTAACTAGGGTGTTCTAAGACGTCTCAGTTATCAACAGTTACGCTTTTGTTGAATATTATGTAAGACCATAATCTATCGGAGCATTGTTATGACACAATATATAAAAATGACAAAGACATTCCTCCGGAGGACAACTCAATGGTTGATGTATTTTATTAAACCAAATTTTTATTGAAGGTTTGGGTCTTCCCGTCTACCATATATGCTCTTAGCTCTAAACGAATGGATATTTTAAATGTTTGTCCCACATGTGGGCTGACGAAAATGTCGTTCTTTTATGTTTGTTTACTAATACTTTGTGGAGCTTGGTCATGCCTGGGGTGATATTGCGAGTGGATTGTCGTTTCCCAACTAATTTCAAGAATGATGTCATTCTCACTCTCTTTCATAGTTGCATGTGATGGCTTGGACTTTATAGATACTTCAGAAATGCATAAACTCAACTATGTGGGATAGTTGGGTGCCTTTGCCTCTTATAATTTTTGGCATTCTGAATATGCATTAAATGTATCAATTTTAAACATAATTGTCAATAGATTCACTAACGATTTTAACTGTTAATTGATGAACTTGTGTTATCTTAAGTGAGACAAATATTTTGAAAAATTATAAACTGATTCTTAGAGTTAACCTATTAATAGCATAATATGGTTAAGTTTGTAATTTTTGTTAAATCAATCTTCCATCAATATTTTTACGTGATGTTTAAAATATGTCTATTTTTACAGAGTTAGTTGGTCATTAATCTCCAATTATTTAAAACAAATTTTAAAGAGAGCGTAGTGTAACGAACAGTCGAACATGTTAATGATCATCATTGACTTGTCACTAATATCATGTTAATTACTAATGAGGCTCACTAATGATAATTAATACATGGTGGTTACAACATGAGAACTCATGCCTAACCGATTTAACAGATAATGATGTTTTCTCTTTTCCTAATCCATACACAGGAAATATAAATAAGGAAATGATTTTTCTATTTTTAAGCTTCACATTGGAGAAGGATAAACTAGAGAGAGAAAATATCGGCATGTCTTCTAACGATCTTTCCCTTCATTTTGTTTAGGTCAACAACTCCTGTCGATGTTCTCGTTTGTTTTTGTATTGTCGGCCCATACAACTACCGTACAAGATATCAGTTTTATCCTCATAGGAGAGTGTCCATGCCTTTTTTGGTATGGTAGGCGAGCACTACTAGTTAAAAGACAACTCTGACAACTCTCTTACCTTTCTACAATGTTAGTATTTTTGCAGGTTCTGTTCACAGTTACCACACTGCATTCTGCACAAACCATAATGTCCTCATTGGTATTCTGTTACTAGCCATATTATTTTCGCTGTTGTTCTAGTGACCTTGATGTTGCTCACAGTGTCCTTATCATAGTTCTTTGCTTGAGTCTAGTACATAAAGTGCTTGCAGTCCAATACAAAATACCATCGTACATCAAGACCTTTTGAAGTTCCTGAAATTATTTTATTATTTTGTTGTTTATTCTTTTAATAATATAAATAAATTATAAATTTAGAATATTATTTATTATCTTTGGGTCGTTTATCTTCCCCGTGTATTGTAATTTGTATAGTCATTTTGCAACGTTGTCATTGACTCATTGATGGAGACCAGGTAGGTTAGAGAGTTATTGAAAAGTTGAACATATGGAAGTGATTAATTATGATTTGATTTAAAACTAAAATCAATAATTTGATATGATCTGACTTTATAATAACTTTTGAAAATTGTAATGATAATTCATATTATAATGTAATAATATTTTTCATTTCATGATTATTTTTAGGAAAAATTACCCAAAATAATCTCAACTTTACCCGTTCTTTCAAAAATAATCCCATATATCACTGTGATGCATAATAATCCCAACTTTATTGAAATTTGTCAATTTTGGGCCGCCGTTAAGTTTCTAACGGAGGGTTAACAGAAATGCCCGTTTTAGACAACAAAATGAAAGTTGGGATTATTTTTGATGAATTTTTATTTTTTAAATTTTTTTGAAATTTTTATTTAAATTTTTCGAATTACTTTCAACCTCCATTTCTTTTTCTTTTCTAAAGATTATTCTTACCTTAGAAAAAAATAGATATAAAAATAATGAAAATGACAAAAATAACTAAAACAATACAAATTAATCAAATAAATAAAGTAATCAATAGAAATTAAACAGAAACTGGTAAGAAATAAAACAAATATATACGGAGTGGTGGGTTTTAACATTTTACACACTATACGAAGTCTTAATATACTACTTATTTTTTAAAAGAACAAGCCGTCTGATAAAAAATTAGAATTATTTTCTAAAAAAATAAGTAGTGATATGTTAATACTTTGTATAATACGTAAAATATTAAAACCCACCTGTATATTTTTATTTTACTCTTACCAATTTCAAGTTAGTTTCCATTGATTACCTTATTTATTTTATTATTTTTGTATCATTTTAGTTACATTTCTCATTGTTTAATTTTTTATATCTATTATTTTTATTTTTTAAACTAAGACTAATCTTTTAAAAAATGAAAAAGAAATGATGATGGAGGTAGAAAGTAATTTAAAAAATTTAAATAAAAAATTAAAAAAATGAAAAAAATTTAAAAACTTTCAGTTTGTTGCCCAAAACGGGCATTTCCGTTAACCCTCCGTTAGAAACTTAACGGCGACCCAAAATTGACAAATTTCAGTAAAGTTGAGATTATTATGCATCATAGTGAAAGGTGGGATTCACTACAAAAAATATGACTTTTTGTGGCTAAATTTTAGTAGCAAAATTATTATTTGCCACAATGTATAAAGATGGGACAAATATTTGTAGCAAATAAGATTTTGCCACAAAATATTTGACATATTGTGGCAATTGTGTAAAATTGCTACTATATCAAAACAATTGGACTCAAAGTTTTACCCCTTTTGAGGCCCATAATCCAAATAGGGAGTAACTGCACAAGTGGAGGAAAATCATTCACAATTGACTACGGAGTATATCTATGCAATCGTGACTTAGGGGCTGTTTGGCAACTTCTGAATGGGTAAGTGCTGAACTAGTAAGAGGTCTGAACCATTAGGTGCTGAACGAGTAAGAGGTCTGAACCATTAAGAGCTACGGAGTAGTATATTGCTTAACTATTCAGAGGCAAATGTCTGATCAATTCAGATAAGATGTCTTAACCATTCAAACTCTGTATAATACTTAACCATTCAGAGGCAAATCTCTTAACTATTCAGACATCTAAACCATTAAGAGGCTGAAACAAACAGTCTGAACCTAAACCATTCAGACATCTGAACCCTTAAGAGACTGAACAGCCCTTACCCTTCTTTCTCTGAACCAGACAGTTACCCAAGGGAGCAAGGGCCGACGAAGGTGACAACGAAGGGGCTAGTTTCTCGAGGGTGTGAATCACGAGTGTGCCTGTAACTAGGGGAGGAGTGACGCGACCTTCTGGTTGACGCTACGGGCTAGGCGGCAGAGAAGGACGAATGATGGAAATTTCAGCATCAAATCAAAGAACTTTGAGCGTCCAATAGTTTTTTTCTGGTATAGACTCTAAACCTGAGTTGTTCTTCAATTCCTTCCTCGTTTATGTCCAATTTTATGTCTTTTATCTATTTTACTACTATTGTGTGTATGTGTTACAGTCTGGATGGATTCATATTAGGTTTTGATTGGGTTAGAATTTGGATTAATTTCTAATTTTTTCAATAAAGATCTGAGTTTGGCTTTAGATTGTGATTAAAAGTTGGTTGGATTCTGTTTTTGAGAAATGCTTTTATTTGTTTTGTTGCCATGTGGTATCCAAATATTTTTAGATTTCTATTTGAAGTCAATGAGTGGGATGTAGAGGAGTTATTGGCTGAGGATGGGGAAGATTAGACAAATTATACAAATGACAATGGGGTAAAGGGTATAATTACTACACATGCTTTAATTTTAAGATTTATTTGTTCATTTGTATGGCCCAGGAACATAGTTTGTCCCTAAATAAGAATGTCAAAGCTCGAAAAAAGAATCAAAATAGGTTCGGAGTTGGTTTATGGGCTATAGATGTTTGTGTATATCTCTTTTGTTTATAAATGATGGTGTTAATTAAGCTGATTTTCACTCTTCAGATTTTTTAGCTGTTGTTTTTATTCTCTTGCCTTTTACTTGAATGAGGAATATAACTCCCGCTTCCTGAATGTTAGTTCTACTTCTAAGAAATAACTTGCCTTTTACTTGAATGAGCTAATTCAATACCTACTTGATTATTTGTCTAGTTACTGCCACTGATGTTGTTTACTAACATCACATTGATTTGCTGATATTTAGGAGTTCAAAGTTATGTCTCCATAGATCACTTTGAGGTTTCAAAAATGCCCTTCTAACGGCGAGTTGTAATTAGAATTTATGTGTCTGAAAATATCGCTACTAATGTCTCTTTATGGCTTTTTGAACAATTGTCTTCTTACTTTTTTTGAATTGATTTAGAATCCAAGCCATTATGAGACCACATCAAAGAATTTTGTTTTTCAACTTTCACCTTCTAGAAATGCTGGTACTCCCGGGCTCCAATTGAGATTTTTGCACGGGTTTTGGCTAGCTACATTATCCAGCAACAAATGGTTGAGAGACTTTTCAGACGCTATCGAGGTAAATCTTCTAAATACTAAAGATGTGTTCCCTCCGATTTTTAGTTTTCACCTTGTAGCAATGTAGGCACTCAAGTGTATGAAAGGAGGATGGACTGCGAGACTTATCAGGCTCTATACTGGTTTGGTCAATGTGAAGGCGGAAATGATTTTTAATCTTTGCTGATAATTTTTTTATCTGGTTTTTCAAATTTGTTGCATTTTTAGAGTAAAACTTATTCGTCTAGAGAAAGTTCAACATCAGCTACACCAACAACCAAGGTTGGTATTACTTTAATACTACACAGTATATTTTCTTTGTGCATGTTTACTATATACACTATCACACACTTTCCACCTAATGCAAAAAAGACTTTCTAGTATGTTTTTCAAGTATCTGCAATTTTTGGCTAGAGTAGTATGTTTTTAAACTAATCTTCAAATGTATATTATTTAGGTCCCAGTAATTCCTTTAGTTCTCTATCTACAACTAAAAGAGAAAGATGAGTAGCTAGGAATGTCTTTCTTTTATTGGCTGCATTTATAATTGTACTACAGTCCGTACCATGATATGTGACTTGTGAATGATTTGATTAGTAAACCTTGTTATGTGCATCTGCAAGAAACAGAACCTAGCAATCCACCTGCTAGCTCAACTCCAGCTCCTGCAACAACCTAAGTTTTTTGCTTTGGTATGTTCTTGCAATTTCTGTGTCCACATGTGTATATGGTTCTGTGTATCCTTCATCATTTTCAATATTTTCACTTTTAATATGACTTATCTACCATTTTCTCATTTAGATTTTTTATAATCTTATATAACACGTGTAAATCCTTGCATGTCAACTCCCGCTCATGCACCCGTGGCAATTACTGGGCGAGCTCAACCTTCACGTGAAGAACTTGGGGCATTTTGTTATATCTATATATAATCGAGAACTTATGTGTGCATATTTAATCTCTTAGCTTACACCTTATACATTTTACATGGACAAATCAGAAGATGTTTAGGGTCAGGCAGCTTCTAGTTTGTCGTGGGCAGCACCCTTGATGTAGTGGGAATCTGGGACATGGACATTGTTGTTCGACCCCTTCGTGCAGCTTATAACAACCCTGAGAGGGCTGTTCAATATTTATATTATGTAAGTCTTCCTGCTTGTGTTTGCATTTTTCTTGGGTAATGGGTATGCAGTTTTCATTTTTACATATAGAAGGATCTATATTGAGGTTTTAACAAATATTTCTGGGTGACAATAGTGAAATACGATTCTCATATATTTTATTAATTTCAAGGTTCTGAAATAACAGACAGGAGCAAATATGTGTTAGTTTTTCGTAAACTATAAACTTACTACCAATTCCTTTACTTCCAAATAATCTTCACAATATAGCAAGTAGTACGTCCAGCATATGTTATCCTCCAAAACAAGATTTTCTTTTATTACCTTTGTTTCTATGACTAATTCTTTTATTACCTTTGTTTCCTTCATTTGCAGATCAAGACTCAATATATAAAATGTGATTCGTTTCCTCTTTCGTTGAGAATTACAATGAAGATTGAAGTGACAACATGATATCAAGATGTTGTCGATTAGAGGAAGATTTTAGGATACCTTAGTCATAAAAACATGTTTAGTATTTTTGTTTTTATTATTATTTTAAAACTCTATTATATTATTGTGAACCTTTGATTGTTTAGAACTATGGGTACCATATATTTTGTTTTTAATCTTAACATATGGCTTTTACTTGATTGTTTGGTTGTTTGGTGTTTTAATTAGCACTCCGTATTGTTTTCACATCACATATATATCATTAAATGTAAAATGTAAATACAATACAAATAATTATAGTATTTATAATAGTAATGATATGATACTAAAAAGAACTTGTAGCAAATTTAATTAGCAAAAATTTAATTTCTCACTGCGTTAGATTTGCCACAATAAAGTGATGATTGTAACAATTAAAAATTGTTATTAGACATAAACTTTTGTGGCAAAGTATAATTTGTGGCATCCTAAACTTGCTACTAAATATGAACTTTTGTGGCAACTAAAATTTGCCACTAAACATGACCTTCTATGGCAAAGTTTTATTAGTGGCAAATCATAATTTGCCACAATAACCATTATATTTGTAGCAAATTTAAATTTGTCACAAATACCTTTTGTAACGGGGTATCTGTGGCAACCTTGTGGCAAATTTCCAAATTGCTACAAATTGTTATTGTGGCTAATTCTTTATGTTTTGTGGCAAAATTTGGTGCCACAAAAAAACAAGTTTCTTGTAGTGATTATTTTTGAAAGACCACGTAAAGTTGAGATTATTTTGGGTAATTTTTCCTTATTTTTAATGAAATAAAATTAGTTGATTTATATATTATAACAATCATTCATATTATAATGTAATAATATTTTTTATTTTAAGATTATTTTTTATGTAATAAGAATATTGATTTAATATTTTAATGATTTGTTCATATATACATTAGAATAAATTTTTAATTCATATATACATTAAAAATAATTATATTTAGATAATCAATATAGAGAATAAATAGTATTTTTATTAAAATATCTCATTCTTACAAAATATCAATGTTAAGCAAAGAAATAATACATTATTATGCATCTTGTATAATAATATATTAATGCTAGATGTTCTTGACAAAAAAAAGTTGTATGCTATAAATAATATATTGCATAAAATATTACACACTCATATTCTCTTCAATCTCAGTCATTGAATCCCAAATCTATAATGTAATAATATTTTTTCATTTATATTTTATAATGTAATAACTTTAGAAACTCAAATTACATGTAGTAATAAAAATATATTTTAAAAGTAGAATTAGATTGACATTGTTAATGTATTTTAAAATAATTTTTTCAACATCCTATAATTAAGGATTAGTTTCTCAACTTTCTATTTAACTTGTTTCTAAATTTTATTCTTTTTCATTTTTAAGAAAACATTTGTGCTTCATATCATTTTATTTTTCTCTACATAAATTATAATCGCACAGAAGTTTCATTTCTTTCTTCTTAAATTTTTTCAAGAGAAATTAAATTTAATTTTTGAAAGAATCGTATAAAATGAAACAAGTAAAAAATATGTAATTTAAAAACTATGGAGTTTTAATGATAATGATAATGATGATAATAATAATAATAATAATAATAATAATAATAACAATAATAATAATAATAATAATAATAATAATAATAATAATTTTTGATTGGATCTGATTTGATCTATTCTGATTTGATTGGATCTGATCTAGAAAGGGGCAATTGCGCTAGAAAATAACTGTCCTTATGCTTTGTTCCTTTGAGTTAAAATATCAGAGTTGGATACTGGAAGAAACTAGAAAGAATTGGAAGAAATTGGAAAGAGTACAAAAAAACTGGAAGGATTTAAAAAATATTATAAGAATTAGAGTTTTAAATATGTAAGAAAACTTTAATTTTGAATATATGTTTTAAATTTGAATATATAATGTTATCGTATTTTCATCGTATATAAATATTTTTTATTTAACTATTGGAAGAAGCCAGAAAAAATTAGAAGAAATTAATACAGTAAAAATTGGAATAAATTAAAAGAAATAAGAAAGAATTAGAAATTATTATTTTTAATCCAAAAAAACAGGACTATTTTAGTTTGAAAAACAAAACCCTAAAACCCTGCACACAGTGTGCCCGTCTCCCTTGTCACCCTCATCGTCGATCTCACTTCTTACGCCTCTCTCTATTCGGCCTCCATTGAACAAAATACAGAGTACATGTTTACCGAGAAACCCTAGTAGCTGCGGCGCTGCTCAAATTTCCCAAAGGAAGAAGATTGGTGAACAGAGAAGCCGAATCTGCGCTCACAGATTCGTTGATTTCCGAAGTTGCTGGAAAATTTGTTGTTCCCAAAAAACTAGAAATCCTCTAAAATCACTCCAAACAATCCAAAATCATCTCCCATATATTCTTCTGTATTGTTATAAATAAGCTCAAATCATCTCCCAACTACCCTTGGTCTGGTGCGGCTAGCAGAACACAGGTCGACGAAAATGGGAATTTTTGAACCATTTAGAGCTATTGGATACATCACGACCAACGTTCCATTCTCATTACAGAGACTCGGCACCGAGACATTTGTCACTGTTAGCATTGGAAAGGCTTTCCAGATTTACAACGTACAGTTTTGTGTCCATTGATTGGTTTTATTTCACTTCTGAAGTCTAAATACTTTGTCAGAGCTTTCATGTTGTGAAAACCTAATCATTTTTCTCTTTATGAAACTTTGTTTGCAGTGCGCTAAGCTCAATTTGGTTCTTGTCGGTATGCCCTTCATTAAATTTATTTATCCATTTTGGAAATTTTTAATCTTTGCATCTTACATTCATTTTCCTTTACTGCTTTTGAAATCAGGATGTCTGGAGTAATCTAAACAGTTACGTAAATCATAAGATCAAAGTAAGAAGTAAAGTTTGTAAATCATAAGATTATGGTACGGTCCTCCTACACACACATTTTAAAGTACTAGAACACATGTTTTGACAAAAAACATAACACCTCGATTCGTACGCATCAAAAATTAAATAGTTCCTTAACATAATCCACTACAGAGAAGTGAAAGATAAAAATACATAGAGAATGAAGTAGACTAGAAGTGGAGATTGCTGTAAAACAGAAGTGGTGTGGCAGAGACTGTAGGACCTCAGGCGCTACCAACTCTTCTAAAACCAATTGGTGTTAGAAGAGGCGCATACCCTAGCCTTATAGTGCATTCAGCATGGCCAACAATCTCCCCCTCAGCAATTGCTCCTGCTGGGAATCGAACTCGTGACCTTGGCTCTGATACCACTTGTAGGACCTCAGGCGCTACCAACTCTTCTAAAACCAATTGGTGTTAGAAGAGGCGCATACCTTATAGTGCATCGCCCACGATATTCGATTGTGACTTGGCCGACATAGCCTCCGCCACGGGACAATTGCTGCACACATGGCCAACAGAGACAAAGGACTCAATAATAAAGAAATTAAAGATAAAAAACAGAGACACTGTCAGTCTCTAACATCAAGCAAAGTAATATTCCCTTGCTGAGTTTGGTAGTTTTCGCGGAATTAAGAGTAGAAGCAGAAGCACGATAGAGAGCCCAGGTTGAAAGAACCAGAGACTGGTTTTGCAGTTAAGGTGCACTGTTGCAGGCTGCTCGGAACTCTTTAGAGGCTGAGAAGCTGAGGTTTAAGTGTGATTGTGTGAAACCTATGAATCAACAGAAGTGTCATATATATTTTGATGAATTCCGACTCTCAGAAGAGTCATATATATATATATATATATATATATATATATATAAATTGGAAGTTGATGAATTAGATGTCCAACATATGATTTTCCATTCCGTCAATGACACCGATGAAACAATCAAGCCGGTACGATACAAGCATTTATGCGCTTCTGAATGATCATCCAGACAATTCAACCATATTTCTGATCTTGATAGTGATCCAAATTGCAATTTCCCTATGGACGCAAAGATTCATATGTTTTTGTGCACCAAATCACGATTTTGATTACCATGAATGTGTTAGTATATTCAATGAGAAGTTAAGGGTTTACACGGGATTAGGGGAATGATTTGTGTGATTGGCCTGAGGATAATGTTCAACAATTCCTAAGCTTCAAGACTGGCTTTGACATGCCGTACAAAAAAATGGATCATAACTTTTTAATTACCAAGATTTGCTTACAACGTGTCCATAAATGAATTATCCTAAACATAATCCACCTCTCAGCTAAACCAAACCAAGTTTAGGCAAATTTAATATTAATTTACCACTCAATTTAACATTTAATCTACGCTAATCTTCGTTTCATTACTTTGAACTGCTGATATGAAGAGAGATCTTCACAACATCTTGACCTCTGGTTCTAAAATGAAACTTCTGGTGTAGTTTTTCTTCTTCTAACATGGGTTTTGGTGTAAATAGTGTTTGCACATATGTTTCTTTGATTTTTGATTAAAGTTGCTAGGCAAAACAACATGATCACAATTCACAAATGAGTGACTAGTTTCTTGTCTCACTAAAAATGGATGGCCAAGTGTTGCCATTTCATAATTTGTAATGATTTTAATTTTAAATTTTCATGAAGGCCCTCAATTACCAAAGAAGATAAGAGCTCTTGCTTCTTACCGAGACTACACTTTTGCTGCCTATGGAAATGATATTGCAGTTGTGAAGCGTGCTCATCAGGTCCGGGACTAACCATTTCTTTTTTCATGAAATTTGAAATGCTCTGGTCTTATATTTAGGCTTTACATATTCATTCTCTTTGATAAGCTTTATAATCTATTTTTCTAGCATATTTCCTGTAATCTTGATGAAGGTCACTACACTGCATCTCTTTACCTTATGATTCTCAATATAGTTAAATGTAAAAATGAAATCAACTTTTGGTGGGTAGGTGGCTACTTGGAGCAGGCACACTGCTAAGGTTAACCATTTGCTACTTTTTGGTGACCACATATTAAGTGTTGATGTTGAAGGAAATATCTTCACATGGAACTTCAAAGGAATAAGTGAAAACCTTGCTCCCGTTGGACACATTTCGCTAGGCGATAATTTCACGCCAAGCTGCATAATGCATCCAGATACATATTTAAATAAGGTATTGTAGGTTATGTTCTACATTGTACTATTCTGTTTTTTTAAAAAATCGAACATGATACATTAAATAACATACTTCATAATCTACAAGTGTTGAATTGATTTCTGGTTGCTCAACAATCAATATTGAAATAGGTCATTGTTGGAAGTCAAGAAGGTACACTGGAACTTTGGAACATTAGCACAAATAAAAAACTGTATGAGTTCACTAGGTGGAAGTCTTCTATAAATTGCTGCATTTCATCTCCAGCGCTAGACGTTGTTGCTGTGGGTTGTGCTGATGGAAAAATTCATGTTCATAATATTCGTTATGACAAAGAAGTCGTTACATTTACTCATTCTGCCTGGGGTGCTGTTACTTCATTATCTTTTAGCACTGACGGGCAACCCCTTTTAGCATCTGGAGGCTCATCTGGTGTGATTACTATATGGAATCTTGAGAAGAGAAGGTTACAGTCTGTAATCAAGGAGGCCCATGATTGCTCTGTAATCTCTCTTCATTTTTTCGCTAACGAGCCCGTGCTTCTGAGTTCATCATCTGATAATTCAATAAAAATGTGGATTTTTGACACAACTGATGGTGACCCTCGTTTACTGCGTTTCAGAAGTGGTCACAGTGCCCCCCCTTCGTGTATCAAGTACTATGCCAATGGGCGACACATTCTATCTGCTGGTCAAGATCGAGCCTTCCGTCTCTTCTCTGTTGTTCAAGACCAGCAGAGCAGAGAGCTCTCTCAGAAAAATGTGTCTAAAAGAGCAAAAAAACTCAAGCTGAAGGAGGAGGATATAAAATTAAAGCCTGTTATTGCATTTGATGTTGCTGAAATTAGGGAACGTGATTGGTGCAATGTTGTTACGTGTCACATGGACACCATTAAAGCATATGTATGGAGGCTTCAAAATTTTGTCCTTGGGGAACATATCCTTAGTCCGTGCCCGGAAAATCCAACACCAGTCAAAGCATGCGCCATAAGTGCATGTGGCAATTTTGCAGTTATAGGGACATCAGGTGGTTGGATCGAGCGATTTAATCTTCAATCTGGAATCAGTCGTGGCAGTTATGGCGACACCATTTTGCAAGGGAAAAATCATTATGCTCATGATGGAGAAGTGATTGGCATAGCCTGTGATTCCACAAATACCCTTATGATAAGTGCAGGATACCACGGGGATGTGAAAATATGGGACTTTAAAGGGAAGGGGTTGAAGTCTAGATTGGACATTGACTGCTCTCTAGTAAAGATTGTTTATCATCGATCCAATGGTCTTTTAGCGACCGCGGCAGATGACTTAGTTATCCGTGTGTTTGATGCTGTTGCATTGAGGATGGTTAGAAAATTTCAGGGGCATGCAGATCGCATTACAGACATGTGCTTTAGTGAGGACGGGAAATGGCTATTGACATCTAGCATGGATGGGACTCTTAGAATTTGGGATGTTATCCTAGCTAGACAGATTGATGCCATACAAGTTGATATCTCTATAACTGCTTTATCTCTATCGCCTAACATGGATGTCCTAGCCACCACACATGTTGATCAAAACGGTATCTATCTATGGGTCAATCAGGCCATGTTCTCCAGCGCTTCTAATGTTGAATCTTATGGAAGTGGGAAAGAAATTGTGAGTGTGAAGATGCCATCAGTTTCATCAGAAGAAACTAAAGATAATGATGACAAAGCCACTGTAGTAAAGCCTCAAGAGGTTCTTGATTCTTCTCAAATTGTTCCTACTTTGGAGCAGCAAATTCCAGGTCTAGTCACGCTCTCTCTACTGCCAAAGAGTCAGTGGCAAAGTTTGATCAATTTAGACATCATAAAGGAGCGGAACAAACCGATTGAGCCTCCAAAGAAACCGGAGAAAGCTCCTTTCTTCTTACCTTCAATTCCCTCCCTCTCTGGTGAAATTTTATTTAAACCCAGTGAAGAAGTTGGGAATGAGAAGAATTCACAAGATGGCGAAAAGGGAGAGAACCGGAGAAAACTGAATCTTCCTGTCTCTAAGTTCTTGCACGTCCTCCAGTCATCTGCAGAGAGTCAAAATTGTAAGATTCATGGTTATGTTATATGCTTAATCCTGTTCTTTCCAAATATTAATTGTCATTAATCGACGTACTCCTGTTTATTTATAGGTTTTGAAAATCAAGTGAAATAACACGGGAGTAAAATTTTGTCATTTGACTAGATTGATTTGCTAAATGGACATTTATTTGTGAACAGAATGCATTTAGTTAGTTAATAGACTATCATTGAAGAAGGGATGCGGAATAATGTTTGTAGTAATGTAGATATAATATGTATGATAAAAGGGACGGGAAATGTACTCTAAAACCCGTTTGTACTGCTTGACCAGGTTTCCACTGCATGGCACATTCATATGTGAAATATTTGTGCTCTAAAAATATCGGCTTAGGCCTCACATAGGCACTGTTCCCCTAATGATTTTTTTTAAATGCTTGTTGCAGTCGAAGCATTCACTGATTATATCAAAAGCGTGTCCCCATCAGCACTGGACATGGAAATGCGAGTGCTTCAACTTATCGACGACGAAGATCAAGATATTGTGATGGACAGACAAGAACTGTACTTCATTGAATTGCTTCTGGATTACTTCATACACGAGACCGCGTGCATGAACAACTTTGAGTTTGTGCAGGCTCTCATTAGACTGTTTTTGAAGGTACACAACTACAAACTAATCAATATCTTCATGGCAGAGGCCATGTTTATCTTAGACGGGCTTTCTCGTTCGTTTTTAATTTTTAAAAGTTACCGGGAATTAATCAACCCGACCATTCCAAAAATGGCATGATTTAATCTCTATTCACCATTTCATAGGAATAATAATCACAAGGTCATATAACTTTTGTGTAATCTATGTGTGTCATGACACGGCCAGATTCATGGTGAAGCAATCAGGCAGCAGCCGAAGCTGCGGGAAAAGGCTCAGAAGCTTCTAGAAATCCAGTCGGGCGTTTGGCGGAGAGTGGACAAGTTGTTCCAGAGTAGCAGATGCATGGTGGCATTCCTTAGTAATTCACAATTTTGATGGTCTAGTGTAAGTCTTTCCCTTGGTTCTTAGGTAATGGTGTGTTTGGAAATTGAATTTGTTTCGCTAGAAGGAGCAAGCCAGAGTTCAAACAGAAAAAAAATCGAAGTAAATTTAGTGCATATTTCACTAATTTCAGGCTGCAATGCAACGTGTCTACCCCTCTCGTATTTCCAACAACTTTGTTATTCCTTTCCTAATGAATTTTTCTTCATAAAAAGATACTGAGTAATATAGAGCTTATTCTCTTTAATTTATTCTTTTTATTTATTACTGTCTCCGTCCTTAGAAGATTGACATAGTTTGACTTTTTTGGTCAAACTGTGACACCATTTTTCTTGATGAACATTTATTTTAATTAAAAATTGACAGCTAGCTTTATTCATTAATCTAAGTCAAAATTTTGGTTGTGTCACCATGAATCTAAAGCAAAATCCTGAAACTTCGCTAAGGGTCCGTTTGGTATATGAAATTGATGGAATTGAAATTGAATTGGAATTGAAATTTCATGAGATTCAATTCCATAGAATGAATTCACCAATTCCATAAATTTTTTGCACTATCAATTCTAAATCTACATAATTTTTGTGCTACAAAACACCAGAATTGGAATTGAAATCCCCAATTCCAATTCTATAGTTTGAATTTCATGTACCAAACGGAGCCTAACCTTTTTGGAGACTTTGTGGGAGTGGTGGGACGCATTTGAGCTGGAATGAGCTTTTTGTTGACTACTCCCTTCGTCCCATTTTAAATTGCCTGTTTGCCTTTTTTTTCCGTCCCAAAATAAATTGCCTGTTAGTTGTTTTCGTAAACTTTTAAAAATAAAATACCTAAACTACCCTTAAAATAAGTCAATCTTTTTTACCTTATCTTCTCATTCATCATCACTCTTAAAAAGTAATGCCAATTTCGAAAAATCAACTCTATTTTTTATTTTCCTTAAATATGCCCAAAAGTCAAAACGGGCAATTTAAATTGGGACGGAGGGAGTACATTTTTTTTAAAATTTATTTTAAGAGATATGTTTTGTACTTCCTTGGTGAGTACAGTACAATATTTCATCAGTTCGGTATTTTTGAGTTCGGTTTTCTCATTTTTTTGAGAATTTTCAGGTTTGTTCATTCCAATTTAAGTTGATTGTTTACTATTTACACTGTCAAATATAACTACGTTTTTTGCCCATTTTTGCTATCCATCTAAGAAAATAATGTAGTTTTGTCACCTTTTATTTTATAGAAATTTTGACGTAATTTTCAAACATATGAACTTTATCTTTCAATTCCATACCATTTTTTAAATAAATGAAATTAAAAATAACTTTACTCAACCTTCATAAAGAACAATAAGTGATTTAAACTGGGATGGAAGGGGTACAATTTTTAAATTACATACATGGCAAATTCAAACGTGGTCTAAGGTCCATGTTCATTTTATAGAACTTAGTGTATTGATATCATAAAAGAATTGAGTCTTTTATAAAAAAAGATCCACTCGAGGCCAGATTCTGGGATCATAGAAGAACAACCCACTTATGGCAAATTGTTACATGGTGTTTAGGTGCACACTCATTTAATGGACCTTATTATATAAAGGGAAATTTACTTAAATAACACTAGAACATAATGACATTCTCTAAATAGCATCACATGTGTTTTTTTCCCATTGTAGCACTTTTAGTCATTACTCATTAGTCATTATTCAAGTAAATCTTCGTCATCACTGGACATTATGAACATTATTAAGAGCTATTTAAGAAATAAAACAGTTTCAGTACTATTTAGGGAATGACTTAAGTTTTAGTGCTACTTAGTGCAAATATTTCTTATATAAATGCCATAAAAGATTTGGGCCTTTGCAAAAAAAAGATCTATTTGATACTTAATAAAAAATGTGAGAAGATTTACATATTACATGTGGATCTCAAGATCACGGAAGCATACTCTCTCTTTATGTATATTTTGTCAATCTATTGAAGCAGAAAGATATCGCCTCCACTGCCTCTACTAGGGATTAAACCCGTGACTTCTTATTTGGAAGGGTCACCTTGACACCATTGGACCACAATGTCTTTAATTAAGAATCCGATATGAGTTAAGAGTATATGGTTAACTTTTACATTGGGTAATTCTTCTCTTTATATACTTGAACCAACTAGACATATATGCACCACTTGGTTAATAACATGAAGTCATGAACACCGGGAAGAGGTACACCCTACACCGGTGATGACCGCCACACGCAAAATGGGGACACGGAGGTTAAGAAGTTTCTCTCCACCGCACAACTCTCACTCACTAAAGCTGACCTTGCCACTGGCAACATCCAATGACTCCCATTAATTACTGGCATGTAAACTATAAGGCCTCATATTACCCATTATTTTGCCCACCAATGAAGTATTACTAACCATACTCTCTTCAGTTGCTCGACGCTATTGCAATTTGCACATTCTCATAATGTTCTTTTAGTACATGCATGAAAAAAGAAGAAACAATGGCATAGGTGTATGGTATTTTGAACTAGACCCTTTTTAACTCCAAGAAGTACATTGTCGCCTCAGTATGCTGCCAAAATAATAAGTCACTGTTACTACAATAAACTACCATTCAGTGACACAGTGTAATAGAAACATTTCTTAACACATACATATACTGAGTATAAAATCACAAGTATAGATTTTACCGTGCTACGCAGCCACTCTCCATCACAAACAGTTCATAAAGTCATGCCTTGCTTTTCCCCTTGAACCCTTCAAGGTTTAGAGGGTTGCGTCCCATGTTTTTAAAATTCTTTTTATACTTGTCATGTGTCTTTGCTTTTATTTTCAAAAGACCCGTCTTAAATAATTCGCCACATTCTCCACCTCTTCTTGTGGAGGCAGTTTCTTTGGCTCCAATGAGTACGAACCATACAACATTTCCATATTTTTTTTCTAGCTTCATTCTCGTTTTCTCTATTTTTTCTGGTGTGAACTTGTTAGGACCTTTCAGCTTTCTCTTTGGTTTTTCGATCTCCACGCATGGCACCTCTTCCATAGCAGTGTATAGCTAACACAAAAGCAAAAGTTAGTTTGCACAATAACTCAACGTAGTGTATTATAATAGTGCATTGTATACAGTTCTAACTATCGTAGCAGTTTCTGTGCGTGATTGCTTTTTATTTATTTTCATTGAAATTTTGCTTGGCTATTTCTGACTTTTTTCTTTTGGTAGTGCACTCTTCATTGTTTCATCATTGCCTTCCTCATACTAATGTCCACTGCCATACTTCATAACCTGTTTTGAGTTAAAAATGTATTTTAAAACTTAATGTTCTGTTGTTATTAGTAAGATATCATTGAAAGAAAATAAAAAAATAACATTTTACCTTTTTATTGACACTCCCACTATTAACTATACTTTCCACAACCTCGTCCATTTTCTTTAGGTCTTCCATATCATACTACGACTCTGTTAACTCAAACGAAGATTGGCTGATGCTTGTAACCCACATCGAACTGCTTCTCTATTACATGTACACCGTAATTCCCTTGATGCACTGCCTCACTTTCTTCAACACTTGGAATCCCCATGTCTTTAGATACAATACCTTTCTGAGTTGGTGTTAACGACAAGAATGTGGACGATCATCTTTAAAGCCTCCCAGATTCTTTATTTCCTCTCTAGATTCAGCCATTTTATCAACTCCTTCCTTATTCTCTACATTCTGTGGCTCAAGGAGTTCCAAAATCCTTTTAATTAACACCCCTTGACGATTATGTGTCTCCTTGATCTCATTTAGCTCTCTCTGTAAATCCTTAGATCCATTGCGTACACTATCCACTTTCTCCACTATCCACATTTCTTTTCTTATATGTATTTGCTTTTGTCGTTTTGGGGCTACTGCTTTCAAGGGACTCCTCCACATTTTTAGCACTTCTCAATGATAACTTCCTTTGTACACTTACCAAGCTTTATTTCCTTTTATTATTTTCTCATTTTTTTTGATCATGTCATCTTTGATGTAAATTTTGAGGGAAGAAAATGATTCATGTATTGTATGATAGTGGCATAAATGACCAAAAATGGGGAAATAACAAAAGGAAACAAAGCTTGATAACATGAAGTTATGCTAAAAATGTGGAGGAATCACTTGAATGCAATAACACCAAAACGACAAAAGCAAAGACATGTAAGAAAAAATGTGAATAAAGTGGAGAAGAAAAAAACGGAGGAAGAAGTTGATAAGATGTCTCAATCTGGAGAATAAAGTAAGAAGAAGATGGATTAAGAGGTAGACACCATTGGCAATCAGTTGAACAACAATAATCATGACAAAAATGGAAAAGATGAAAAAAATACCGGGAGACTTAAAAGATGATTGTCCTACATTCGTGTTGCTAACACTAACTCAGAAAGGTAGTGTGTTTGATAATATGGGGAATCCAACTAACCAGAGGAAGTGAGGCCGTGCATCAAGGGAATGATAATGTACATGTAGTAGAGTAACAGCTTGATGTGAGTTACAAGCAACGAGGTCGTGAAAAGTATAGTTAAAAGTGGGGGTGTTGATAAAAGGTAAAAATGTTATTTTCGATTTTTTATAATGATATCTTAGCAATAACAGTAGAACATCAAATTTTAAAATATATATTTGCCTAATAACAGGTTATGAAGTATGACAATGGATACATTTTGAAATATATATTTTGAAATATATATTTGCCTTTTGAAATATATATTTGCCTCATTTAAGTCATTTTACTTCCACAAAAGAATATTTAATAAAAGCAGCAATAAGCTAATCAGTAATAAGCTAATCAGTTCATTGACTTATAAGCACTTTATAAATCAGCTTATAAGCACAGAAAAAGTGATAAGCTGAATTATAAGTTAAAAACATCTTATAAATAATTTTGACCAATTTATAAACACAGACACTCACAATGAGTATTTAATATAATCTGTATTTTATGTAGAGACACTCACAATGGGTATGTAATATAATCCTTTTATTTAAGTCGATTTACTTCCACAAAAGAATATTTAATTTATAAACAGTTTATTAGTTAAAAACTACTTATCAGCAATAAGCTAATCATTACCATCACAGAGAAACACTCCACAATATATTTGGCCAAAACTATTGAAAACCCCATCGCTAATAATCTTATGTTTGAACAATTTTCCATAAATATTTCTATAGCGATCTCACTATTCTCTCTAGTTTGAAGATGCATTATGTAAAGATACATTACCTCTATATGAAAAATGGAACTAGACAACACGAAAAGAATCGGCTATCTTCTTTAAATCCTTGTAGTGCCTCTTCCATTGAAGACCTACAAAAGAAAATGAACTACTACAAGTTATGTTTCAAGCTTCTTTTGTACTTCATTTTGGGATGCAAAACCAGAGTTTAAGCCATACCACTTCCGGTCACACTAAACAAGTAGAGACGATTTCCAGCAGCAGTTGCAGTGATGAGAACATGAGGAGGCTCCAATTCAAAATGGTAATATTTTCTCCCCGCGTTTTCAGTAACACTTATGCTTATAACCTTTCCTTCTACATTCTCCCCCGTGACTTCCGGCCCAAATGCACTTATCACTTTTTCTGGCGTTCCAATTTTTTCGATTGTAGCATCATCTCCAAGATCTGAAAATTAATTGGCACATAAATTCTTGAGTTGAACTAATGATATGGAAGGAATAACTAAATAATTTGTATTATTTGGTTAATTAGATATTTCAATAGTTTAATTATTTATATTTACTTTTTATTATTGAGTGGAATTATAACACTCCTTTGATGGTTTTTTTCGATTCTTTACCTCGACACTTTTATTGATACGATAGGGGTTAGGAATTAGATTTTTGCTAGGGTTAGGGTTTACCATCTCCATCTATATATTGAGTTGTAACCCCTCTTTAGATTAGTCATCAATGAAGAACCAAATTATATCCTAACCCTAATATCTTCTTCTCTTCTCCTCTGCCGAATTGGCTTCCTTTCCCTTCCCTTCTAAATCTCTACTCTTCCTTCTCTCGAATTCTTCACCCTTTTCCCCAAATTCTCAATCTCCTCTCCTTCTTTGATATGTTACCGTACCAACTAAGTAATCAATCAATTGAATTAAATCTTTTAATGTGGTTCAGTCCATGTGTCTTATGGCCCAGACTAGTGATCCCTACCCTTAAATTAGCCGTATAGTTTAGGGCATACCGTCTGCGAATCTCAAAACGGGAGCGACAATCACAGACAAACGACCTTCCTTTCCACTTGCAAATCTCAAGTCAATCTCTGTGCCACCAAGATCTGCAATCGATACCGGAACCTACATATTTCATGCCACATCAAAACATAGCAAAGATAAATATGGTTTAAAAGCCTAAAGAAGAAGAAGAAGCAGATGATCATATTACTTCTTCCCAATCTTGAGGCACTGCAAATGTGTAAGGGATGATCGGACTCCATCCTATGCCATGCCCTCCAGACTTGTCATCTGGTCTACGATAAGTCCTCCAACCTGTCGCAGCATATATTTTCTTTTTCCTCAGTGAACAGCTATCTGTAAACTCACTAACACGTCGAAAACGACAACAAAAAGAAGAAAAAAAAAGGGTATGAAATCAAGTGATTACTTTTTTTCCTTTCAATCATTAAAGTGAAGGGCAGACTAGAATTAGGGATTTTCCCAAGGAGATTGTATGAATTGTGATTCTCTATTTATATATGATTCAGCACTGGCATTTCATTTCAGGTGCCAATTGAATTGTATAGAGTAATTATTTCCTCAACAACAACAAAAAACTCATCATAAAATTTCTGAAATTCACATCACAAAGCAATCAGGTACGCTTATAGATTGCCCTAAACCTAAAATTTAGAGAGAAAAAAGTGATGAATTAAGAAGAATTTGGGTTGAATTGACTGATGGAACCTTGTTCGTCTGGTTCAGAGAGGCCAGGAACCCTCCCAGCAAGGAGACCTTGTTTCACAACAGCCAAAGCCTGCTCACTAAACCCAAGCAGTAAAGAAGAAGAAAACCCAGAAATCAGAAGTGATCTTCTCCTCAAATCGAAGCCCTTTCTTTTACTTTCTTGTTCTGCTTCCCCAGACCCATTTGCATATACTCTTTTCCTGTAAGAAGAAGAAGAAGAAGAGTGGGGGAGAAAAGTCCGGAAAGGATTAATGATAATATGGTTACGGTGATTTGTGGAGGAGAAACAGCCGCAGGTGTTCAAGAACAGAGAAGTCCCCATTGTCATGTCTCTGGAAACTTCAACACCACAAGTAATTATTAGCCTTTCACCTCTCTGGAGAACCTGAAATGATGAAACACTAATTACTAGTAATAATTCTTAGTTGCATGGTACATGTACTCTAAAATTTGCATTTCACACTAACACAAAGTATAAATACATTGAGAAACTGTTGGTGCACTTACGACATTGAGAAAGAGCTCCACCTGATTTACCAATCGAAGTAACAGCAAAATCATGCCCTGTCATGATTAAAAGCCGTGATACAACACAAGGAGAGAACCATACCCTAGAAACTAGCATTAGCTCTTAAGGTGGGAGAACCCTTAAATGTATAAACTCATCACCAAGTCATCTATTTAACCGACGTGAATTCAACTCCCATAAGGCCCAACGTCCTCGTTGGTCACGGCTGATTTCACCAGGCAACCACTCCGTGGGCCACCACTTCGTAGGCCACCACTCCGAGTTGGCTCTGATACCATTGATACAACACAAAGGAGAGCCACACCCTAAAAGCTAGTTATTAAGGTGAGAGAACCCTTGGCTATATAAACTCATCACTAAGTCCCCCATTTAACCAGTTTGGGATAATGAAATCAGTCTGTATCACGCCGCATGGCGCCTCTAACGTTATGTGTATTTCCGTTGCTCTTAATGAATGGGCCATGGTTTGGAAAAGTGTTCCAATGATTCTAGAAAGGGTAAAATATATTTTTGTTCCAATAAAATATTTTTGTTTTTATAATTTTTTTTGTTTAAGTCATCTTTATAAAAAATTTTATTTTGAAAATAGTTCTTAAACGTGAGTGCGACTTCTAATTTATTGGCATAACACATTTATTTCATACTCAATAGTCAATATCCTAATCTTGCATTTTTATTAATCACAAACACAATTCTCAAATCCTGAATTGAGTCATTCATTGAATTACATGCATCCCTAATCGTCAAATTACACAATTTAGGACATGAGATTCGTGTCGGAGGTAATTAGAAAATGCGAGACTAAGATCTTGAGTAGGAAATAATAAATGTGTTATCTCAACTAATTAGAAGTACTAATTACATTTAAAGGCTATTTTTAAAATATAAAATTTTGTAAGAATGATTTCAACAAAAAAATTATCGGAACAAAAACAAGCGACTATTTTACAACAAAATATACCACCTCCATTCAAAAATTATATTCTCATTCACTATTTACGGGATCAAACTTTTTTTACTTAATTGGCTTATCTATGTTGCTCATTTAATAAAAGAATATAGTCATGTAATCTATAGTTTTGTAGATCTTTTAATGTAATTTTTAAATATGCAATTTTTATTTTTTAATTTCATACCATTTTTTATATGAACTGATTTGAAAATAATTTTAATCAAATATCGCAACACACAACGAAAAGATAATTTTTAGATGGAGAGAGTATTAAGAAGTAAATCCATGTAAAAGAATTAAATTGGTAAACTCCGAAAATTTCAGAACGTTTATACGGGTAATTTTTTGTGCCCAAACTAGGAATGTACAAAATAGCAACCCACTAAACAATGTTATGAAATTAATGATTGTTCATTTATTCAATTAATCAGGCCTAATTTCTAGAATAGTAGATTAAGACACTCATTGATNTATAAAATGAGAGAAAAATTACTCAGAGATTATGAGAATAGATATAATATATTTCTGATTTCTTCTCTCTATTAACTCTTCACTCTTCTTCTTATTCTTAATGGTGATTACAATGCAGGGATTAAGCCTCTATTTATAGTGGAGAGGCTTAGTATGAATACAAATACAAGTGGGAAGGACTGTACTAAATTGATACTCATCAATGAGTGTCTTAATCTACTATTCTAGAAATTAGGCCTGATTAATTGAATAAATGAACAATCATTAATTTCATAACATTGTTTAGTGGGTTGCTATTTTGTACATTCCTAGTTTGGGCACAAAAAATTACCCGTATAAACGTTCTGAAATTTTCGGAGTTTACCAATTTAATTCTTTTACATGGATTTACTTCTTAATACTCTCTCCATCTAAAAATTATCTTTTCGTTGTGTGTTGCGATATTTGATTAAAATTATTTTCAAATCAGTTCATATAAAAAATGGTATGAAATTAAAAAATAAAAATTGCATATTTAAAAATTACATTAAAAGATCTACAAAACTATAGATTACATGACTATATTCTTTTATTAAATGAGCAACATAGATAAGCCAATTAAGTAAAAAAAGTTTGATCCCGTAAATAGTGAATGAGAATATAATTTTTGAATGGAGGTGGTATATTTTGTTGTAAAATAGTCGCTTGTTTTTGTTCCGATAATTTTTTTGTTGAAATCATTCTTACAAAATTTTATATTTTAAAAATAGCCTTTAAATGTAATTAGTACTTCTAATTAGTTGAGATAACACATTTATTATTTCCTACTCAAGATCTTAGTCTCGCATTTTCTAATTACCTCCGACACGAATCTCATGTCCTAAATTGTGTAATTTGACGATTAGGGATGCATGTAATTCAATGAATGACTCAATTCAGGATTTGAGAATTGTGTTTGTGATTAATAAAAATGCAAGATTAGGATATTGACTATTGAGTATGAAATAAATGTGTTATGCCAATAAATTAGAAGTCGCACTCACGTTTAAGAACTATTTTCAAAATAAAATTTTTTATAAAGATGACTTAAACAAAAAAAATTATAAAAACAAAAATATTTTATTGGAACAAAAATATATTTTACCCTTTCTAGAATCATTGGAACACTTTTCCAAACCATGGCCCATTCATTAAGAGCAACGGAAATACACATAACGTTAGAGGCGCCATGCGGCGTGATACAGACTGATTTCATTATCCCAAACTGGTTAAATGGGGGACTTAGTGATGAGTTTATATAGCCAAGGGTTCTCTCACCTTAATAACTAGCTTTTAGGGTGTGGCTCTCCTTTGTGTTGTATCAATGGTATCAGAGCCAACTCGGAGTGGTGGCCTACGAAGTGGTGGCCCACGGAGTGGTTGCCTGGTGAAATCAGCCGTGACCAACGAGGACGTTGGGCCTTATGGGAGTTGAATTCACGTCGGTTAAATAGATGACTTGGTGATGAGTTTATACATTTAAGGGTTCTCCCACCTTAAGAGCTAATGCTAGTTTCTAGGGTATGGTTCTCTCCTTGTGTTGTATCACGGCTTTTAATCATGACAGGGCATGATTTTGCTGTTACTTCGATTGGTAAATCAGGTGGAGCTCTTTCTCAATGTCGTAAGTGCACCAACAGTTTCTCAATGTATTTATACTTTGTGTTAGTGTGAAATGCAAATTTTAGAGTACATGTACCATGCAACTAAGAATTATTACTAGTAATTAGTGTTTCATCATTTCAGGTTCTCCAGAGAGGTGAAAGGCTAATAATTACTTGTGGTGTTGAAGTTTCCAGAGACATGACAATGGGGACTTCTCTGTTCTTGAACACCTGCGGCTGTTTCTCCTCCACAAATCACCGTAACCATATTATCATTAATCCTTTCCGGACTTTTCTCCCCCACTCTTCTTCTTCTTCTTCTTACAGGAAAAGAGTATATGCAAATGGGTCTGGGGAAGCAGAACAAGAAAGTAAAAGAAAGGGCTTCGATTTGAGGAGAAGATCACTTCTGATTTCTGGGTTTTCTTCTTCTTTACTGCTTGGGTTTAGTGAGCAGGCTTTGGCTGTTGTGAAACAAGGTCTCCTTGCTGGGAGGGTTCCTGGCCTCTCTGAACCAGACGAACAAGGTTCCATCAGTCAATTCAACCCAAATTCTTCTTAATTCATCACTTTTTTCTCTCTAAATTTTAGGTTTAGGGCAATCTATAAGCGTACCTGATTGCTTTGTGATGTGAATTTCAGAAATTTTATGATGAGTTTTTTGTTGTTGTTGAGGAAATAATTACTCTATACAATTCAATTGGCACCTGAAATGAAATGCCAGTGCTGAATCATATATAAATAGAGAATCACAATTCATACAATCTCCTTGGGAAAATCCCTAATTCTAGTCTGCCCTTCACTTTAATGATTGAAAGGAAAAAAAGTAATCACTTGATTTCATACCCTTTTTTTTTCTTCTTTTTGTTGTCGTTTTCGACGTGTTAGTGAGTTTACAGATAGCTGTTCACTGAGGAAAAAGAAAATATATGCTGCGACAGGTTGGAGGACTTATCGTAGACCAGATGACAAGTCTGGAGGGCATGGCATAGGATGGAGTCCGATCATCCCTTACACATTTGCAGTGCCTCAAGATTGGGAAGAAGTAATATGATCATCTGCTTCTTCTTCTTCTTTAGGCTTTTAAACCATATTTATCTTTGCTATGTTTTGATGTGGCATGAAATATGTAGGTTCCGGTATCGATTGCAGATCTTGGTGGCACAGAGATTGACTTGAGATTTGCAAGTGGAAAGGAAGGTCGTTTGTCTGTGATTGTCGCTCCCGTTTTGAGATTCGCAGACGGTATGCCCTAAACTATACGGCTAATTTAAGGGTAGGGATCACTAGTCTGGGCCATAAGACACATGGACTGAACCACATTAAAAGATTTAATTCAATTGATTGATTACTTAGTTGGTACGGTAACATATCAAAGAAGGAGAGGAGATTGAGAATTTGGGGAAAAGGGTGAAGAATTCGAGAGAAGGAAGAGTAGAGATTTAGAAGGGAAGGGAAAGGAAGCCAATTCGGCAGAGGAGAAGAGAAGAAGATATTAGGGTTAGGATATAATTTGGTTCTTCATTGATGACTAATCTAAAGAGGGGTTACAACTCAATATATAGATGGAGATGGTAAACCCTAACCCTAGCAAAAATCTAATTCCTAACCCCTATCGTATCAATAAAAGTGTCGAGGTAAAGAATCGAAAAAAACCATCAAAGGAGTGTTATAATTCCACTCAATAATAAAAAGTAAATATAAATAATTAAACTATTGAAATATCTAATTAACCAAATAATACAAATTATTTAGTTATTCCTTCCATATCATTAGTTCAACTCAAGAATTTATGTGCCAATTAATTTTCAGATCTTGGAGATGATGCTACAATCGAAAAAATTGGAACGCCAGAAAAAGTGATAAGTGCATTTGGGCCGGAAGTCACGGGGGAGAATGTAGAAGGAAAGGTTATAAGCATAAGTGTTACTGAAAACGCGGGGAGAAAATATTACCATTTTGAATTGGAGCCTCCTCATGTTCTCATCACTGCAACTGCTGCTGGAAATCGTCTCTACTTGTTTAGTGTGACCGGAAGTGGTATGGCTTAAACTCTGGTTTTGCATCCCAAAATGAAGTACAAAAGAAGCTTGAAACATAACTTGTAGTAGTTCATTTTCTTTTGTAGGTCTTCAATGGAAGAGGCACTACAAGGATTTAAAGAAGATAGCCGATTCTTTTCGTGTTGTCTAGTTCCATTTTTCATATAGAGGTAATGTATCTTTACATAATGCATCTTCAAACTAGAGAGAATAGTGAGATCGCTATAGAAATATTTATGGAAAATTGTTCAAACATAAGATTATTAGCGATGGGGTTTTCAATAGTTTTGGCCAAATATATTGTGGAGTGTTTCTCTGTGATGGTAATGATTAGCTTATTGCTGATAAGTAGTTTTTAACTAATAAACTGTTTATAAATTAAATATTCTTTTGTGGAAGTAAATCGACTTAAATAAAAGGATTATATTACATACCCATTGTGAGTGTCTCTACATAAAATACAGATTATATTAAATACTCATTGTGAGTGTCTGTGTTTATAAATTGGTCAAAATTATTTATAAGATGTTTTTAACTTATAATTCAGCTTATCACTTTTTCTGTGCTTATAAGCTGATTTATAAAGTGCTTATAAGTCAATGAACTGATTAGCTTATTACTGATTAGCTTATTGCTGCTTTTATTAAATATTCTTTTGTGGAAGTAAAATGACTTAAATGAGGCAAATATATATTTCAAAAGGCAAATATATATTTCAAAATATATATTTCAAAATGTATCCATTGTCATACTTCATAACCTGTTATTAGGCAAATATATATTTTAAAATTTGATGTTCTACTGTTATTGCTAAGATATCATTATAAAAAATCGAAAATAACATTTTTACCTTTTATCAACACCCCCACTTTTAACTATACTTTTCACGACCTCGTTGCTTGTAACTCACATCAAGCTGTTACTCTACTACATGTACATTATCATTCCCTTGATGCACGGCCTCACTTCCTCTGGTTAGTTGGATTCCCCATATTATCAAACACACTACCTTTCTGAGTTAGTGTTAGCAACACGAATGTAGGACAATCATCTTTTAAGTCTCCCGGTATTTTTTTCATCTTTTCCATTTTTGTCATGATTATTGTTGTTCAACTGATTGCCAATGGTGTCTACCTCTTAATCCATCTTCTTCTTACTTTATTCTCCAGATTGAGACATCTTATCAACTTCTTCCTCCGTTTTTTTCTTCTCCACTTTATTCACATTTTTTCTTACATGTCTTTGCTTTTGTCGTTTTGGTGTTATTGCATTCAAGTGATTCCTCCACATTTTTAGCATAACTTCATGTTATCAAGCTTTGTTTCCTTTTGTTATTTCCCCATTTTTGGTCATTTATGCCACTATCATACAATACATGAATCATTTTCTTCCCTCAAAATTTACATCAAAGATGACATGATCAAAAAAAATGAGAAAATAATAAAAGGAAATAAAGCTTGGTAAGTGTACAAAGGAAGTTATCATTGAGAAGTGCTAAAAATGTGGAGGAGTCCCTTGAAAGCAGTAGCCCCAAAACGACAAAAGCAAATACATATAAGAAAAGAAATGTGGATAGTGGAGAAAGTGGATAGTGTACGCAATGGATCTAAGGATTTACAGAGAGAGCTAAATGAGATCAAGGAGACACATAATCGTCAAGGGGTGTTAATTAAAAGGATTTTGGAACTCCTTGAGCCACAGAATGTAGAGAATAAGGAAGGAGTTGATAAAATGGCTGAATCTAGAGAGGAAATAAAGAATCTGGGAGGCTTTAAAGATGATCGTCCACATTCTTGTCGTTAACACCAACTCAGAAAGGTATTGTATCTAAAGACATGGGGATTCCAAGTGTTGAAGAAAGTGAGGCAGTGCATCAAGGGAATTACGGTGTACATGTAATAGAGAAGCAGTTCGATGTGGGTTACAAGCATCAGCCAATCTTCGTTTGAGTTAACAGAGTCGTAGTATGATATGGAAGACCTAAAGAAAATGGACGAGGTTGTGGAAAGTATAGTTAATAGTGGGAGTGTCAATAAAAAGGTAAAATGTTATTTTTTTATTTTCTTTCAATGATATCTTACTAATAACAACAGAACATTAAGTTTTAAAATACATTTTTAACTCAAAACAGGTTATGAAGTATGGCAGTGGACATTAGTATGAGGAAGGCAATGATGAAACAATGAAGAGTGCACTACCAAAAGAAAAAAGTCAGAAATAGCCAAGCAAAATTTCAATGAAAATAAATAAAAAGCAATCACGCACAGAAACTGCTACGATAGTTAGAACTGTATACAATGCACTATTATAATACACTACGTTGAGTTATTGTGCAAACTAACTTTTGCTTTTGTGTTAGCTATACACTGCTATGGAAGAGGTGCCATGCGTGGAGATCGAAAAACCAAAGAGAAAGCTGAAAGGTCCTAACAAGTTCACACCAGAAAAAATAGAGAAAACGAGAATGAAGCTAGAAAAAAAATATGGAAATGTTGTATGGTTCGTACTCATTGGAGCCAAAGAAACTGCCTCCACAAGAAGAGGTGGAGAATGTGGCGAATTATTTAAGACGGGTCTTTTGAAAATAAAAGCAAAGACACATGACAAGTATAAAAAGAATTTTAAAAACATGGGACGCAACCCTCTAAACCTTGAAGGGTTCAAGGGGAAAAGCAAGGCATGACTTTATGAACTGTTTGTGATGGAGAGTGGCTGCGTAGCACGGTAAAATCTATACTTGTGATTTTATACTCAGTATATGTATGTGTTAAGAAATGTTTCTATTACACTGTGTCACTGAATGGTAGTTTATTGTAGTAACAGTGACTTATTATTTTGGCAGCATACTGAGGCGACAATGTACTTCTTGGAGTTAAAAAGGGTCTAGTTCAAAATACCATACACCTATGCCATTGTTTCTTCTTTTTTCATGCATGTACTAAAAGAACATTATGAGAATGTGCAAATTGCAATAGCGTCGAGCAACTGAAGAGAGTATGGTTAGTAATACTTCATTGGTGGGCAAAATAATGGGTAATATGAGGCCTTATAGTTTACATGCCAGTAATTAATGGGAGTCATTGGATGTTGCCAGTGGCAAGGTCAGCTTTAGTGAGTGAGAGTTGTGCGGTGGAGAGAAACTTCTTAACCTCCGTGTCCCCATTTTGCGTGTGGCGGTCATCACCGGTGTAGGGTGTACCTCTTCCCGGTGTTCATGACTTCATGTTATTAACCAAGTGGTGCATATATGTCTAGTTGGTTCAAGTATATAAAGAGAAGAATTACCCAATGTAAAAGTTAACCATATACTCTTAACTCATATCGGATTCTTAATTAAAGACATTGTGGTCCAATGGTGTCAAGGTGACCCTTCCAAATAAGAAGTCACGGGTTTAATCCCTAGTAGAGGCAGTGGAGGCGATATCTTTCTGCTTCAATAGATTGACAAAATATACATAAAGAGAGAGTATGCTTCCGTGATCTTGAGATCCACATGTAATATGTAAATCTTCTCACATTTTTTATTAAGTATCAAATAGATCTTTTTTTTGCAAAGGCCCAAATCTTTTATGGCATTTATATAAGAAATATTTGCACTAAGTAGCACTAAAACTTAAGTCATTCCCTAAATAGTACTGAAACTGTTTTATTTCTTAAATAGCTCTTAATAATGTTCATAATGTCCAGTGATGACGAAGATTTACTTGAATAATGACTAATGAGTAATGACTAAAAGTGCTACAATGGGAAAAAAACACATGTGATGCTATTTAGAGAATGTCATTATGTTCTAGTGTTATTTAAGTAAATTTCCCTTTATATAATAAGGTCCATTAAATGAGTGTGCACCTAAACACCATGTAACAATTTGCCATAAGTGGGTTGTTCTTCTATGATCCCAGAATCTGGCCTCGAGTGGATCTTTTTTTATAAAAGACTCAATTCTTTTATGATATCAATACACTAAGTTCTATAAAATGAACATGGACCTTAGACCACGTTTGAATTTGCCATGTATGTAATTTAAAAATTGTACCCCTTCCATCCCAGTTTAAATCACTTATTGTTCTTTATGAAGGTTGAGTAAAGTTATTTTTAATTTCATTTATTTAAAAAATGGTATGGAATTGAAAGATAAAGTTCATATGTTTGAAAATTACGTCAAAATTTCTATAAAATAAAAGGTGACAAAACTACATTATTTTCTTAGATGGATAGCAAAAATGGGCAAAAAACGTAGTTATATTTGACAGTGTAAATAGTAAACAATCAACTTAAATTGGAATGAACAAACCTGAAAATTCTCAAAAAAATGAGAAAACCGAACTCAAAAATACCGAACTGATGAAATATTGTACTGTACTCACCAAGGAAGTACAAAACATATCTCTTAAAATAAATTTTAAAAAAAATGTACTCCCTCCGTCCCAATTTAAATTGCCCGTTTTGACTTTTGGGCATATTTAAGGAAAATAAAAAATAGAGTTGATTTTTCGAAATTGGCATTACTTTTTAAGAGTGATGATGAATGAGAAGATAAGGTAAAAAAGATTGACTTATTTTAAGGGTAGTTTAGGTATTTTATTTTTAAAAGTTTACGAAAACAACTAACAGGCAATTTATTTTGGGACGGAAAAAAAAGGCAAACAGGCAATTTAAAATGGGACGAAGGGAGTAGTCAACAAAAAGCTCATTCCAGCTCAAATGCGTCCCACCACTCCCACAAAGTCTCCAAAAAGGTTAGGCTCCGTTTGGTACATGAAATTCAAACTATAGAATTGGAATTGGGGATTTCAATTCCAATTCTGGTGTTTTGTAGCACAAAAATTATGTAGATTTAGAATTGATAGTGCAAAAAATTTATGGAATTGGTGAATTCATTCTATGGAATTGAATCTCATGAAATTTCAATTCCAATTCAATTTCAATTCCATCAATTTCATATACCAAACGGACCCTTAGCGAAGTTTCAGGATTTTGCTTTAGATTCATGGTGACACAACCAAAATTTTGACTTAGATTAATGAATAAAGCTAGCTGTCAATTTTTAATTAAAATAAATGTTCATCAAGAAAAATGGTGTCACAGTTTGACCAAAAAAGTCAAACTATGTCAATCTTCTAAGGACGGAGACAGTAATAAATAAAAAGAATAAATTAAAGAGAATAAGCTCTATATTACTCAGTATCTTTTTATGAAGAAAAATTCATTAGGAAAGGAATAACAAAGTTGTTGGAAATACGAGAGGGGTAGACACGTTGCATTGCAGCCTGAAATTAGTGAAATATGCACTAAATTTACTTCGATTTTTTTTCTGTTTGAACTCTGGCTTGCTCCTTCTAGCGAAACAAATTCAATTTCCAAACACACCATTACCTAAGAACCAAGGGAAAGACTTACACTAGACCATCAAAATTGTGAATTACTAAGGAATGCCACCATGCATCTGCTACTCTGGAACAACTTGTCCACTCTCCGCCAAACGCCCGACTGGATTTCTAGAAGCTTCTGAGCCTTTTCCCGCAGCTTCGGCTGCTGCCTGATTGCTTCACCATGAATCTGGCCGTGTCATGACACACATAGATTACACAAAAGTTATATGACCTTGTGATTATTATTCCTATGAAATGGTGAATAGAGATTAAATCATGCCATTTTTGGAATGGTCGGGTTGATTAATTCCCGGTAACTTTTAAAAATTAAAAACGAACGAGAAAGCCCGTCTAAGATAAACATGGCCTCTGCCATGAAGATATTGATTAGTTTGTAGTTGTGTACCTTCAAAAACAGTCTAATGAGAGCCTGCACAAACTCAAAGTTGTTCATGCACGCGGTCTCGTGTATGAAGTAATCCAGAAGCAATTCAATGAAGTACAGTTCTTGTCTGTCCATCACAATATCTTGATCTTCGTCGTCGATAAGTTGAAGCACTCGCATTTCCATGTCCAGTGCTGATGGGGACACGCTTTTGATATAATCAGTGAATGCTTCGACTGCAACAAGCATTTAAAAAAAATCATTAGGGGAACAGTGCCTATGTGAGGCCTAAGCCGATATTTTTAGAGCACAAATATTTCACATATGAATGTGCCATGCAGTGGAAACCTGGTCAAGCAGTACAAACGGGTTTTAGAGTACATTTCCCGTCCCTTTTATCATACATATTATATCTACATTACTACAAACATTATTCCGCATCCCTTCTTCAATGATAGTCTATTAACTAACTAAATGCATTCTGTTCACAAATAAATGTCCATTTAGCAAATCAATCTAGTCAAATGACAAAATTTTACTCCCGTGTTATTTCACTTGATTTTCAAAACCTATAAATAAACAGGAGTACGTCGATTAATGACAATTAATATTTGGAAAGAACAGGATTAAGCATATAACATAACCATGAATCTTACAATTTTGACTCTCTGCAGATGACTGGAGGACGTGCAAGAACTTAGAGACAGGAAGATTCAGTTTTCTCCGGTTCTCTCCCTTTTCGCCATCTTGTGAATTCTTCTCATTCCCAACTTCTTCACTGGGTTTAAATAAAATTTCACCAGAGAGGGAGGGAATTGAAGGTAAGAAGAAAGGAGCTTTCTCCGGTTTCTTTGGAGGCTCAATCGGTTTGTTCCGCTCCTTTATGATGTCTAAATTGATCAAACTTTGCCACTGACTCTTTGGCAGTAGAGAGAGCGTGACTAGACCTGGAATTTGCTGCTCCAAAGTAGGAACAATTTGAGAAGAATCAAGAACCTCTTGAGGCTTTACTACAGTGGCTTTGTCATCATTATCTTTAGTTTCTTCTGATGAAACTGATGGCATCTTCACACTCACAATTTCTTTCCCACTTCCATAAGATTCAACATTAGAAGCGCTGGAGAACATGGCCTGATTGACCCATAGATAGATACCGTTTTGATCAACATGTGTGGTGGCTAGGACATCCATGTTAGGCGATAGAGATAAAGCAGTTATAGAGATATCAACTTGTATGGCATCAATCTGTCTAGCTAGGATAACATCCCAAATTCTAAGAGTCCCATCCATGCTAGATGTCAATAGCCATTTCCCGTCCTCACTAAAGCACATGTCTGTAATGCGATCTGCATGCCCCTGAAATTTTCTAACCATCCTCAATGCAACAGCATCAAACACACGGATAACTAAGTCATCTGCCGCGGTCGCTAAAAGACCATTGGATCGATGATAAACAATCTTTACTAGAGAGCAGTCAATGTCCAATCTAGACTTCAACCCCTTCCCTTTAAAGTCCCATATTTTCACATCCCCGTGGTATCCTGCACTTATCATAAGGGTATTTGTGGAATCACAGGCTATGCCAATCACTTCTCCATCATGAGCATAATGATTTTTCCCTTGCAAAATGGTGTCGCCATAACTGCCACGACTGATTCCAGATTGAAGATTAAATCGCTCGATCCAACCACCTGATGTCCCTATAACTGCAAAATTGCCACATGCACTTATGGCGCATGCTTTGACTGGTGTTGGATTTTCCGGGCACGGACTAAGGATATGTTCCCCAAGGACAAAATTTTGAAGCCTCCATACATATGCTTTAATGGTGTCCATGTGACACGTAACAACATTGCACCAATCACGTTCCCTAATTTCAGCAACATCAAATGCAATAACAGGCTTTAATTTTATATCCTCCTCCTTCAGCTTGAGTTTTTTTGCTCTTTTAGACACATTTTTCTGAGAGAGCTCTCTGCTCTGCTGGTCTTGAACAACAGAGAAGAGACGGAAGGCTCGATCTTGACCAGCAGATAGAATGTGTCGCCCATTGGCATAGTACTTGATACACGAAGGGGGGGCACTGTGACCACTTCTGAAACGCAGTAAACGAGGGTCACCATCAGTTGTGTCAAAAATCCACATTTTTATTGAATTATCAGATGATGAACTCAGAAGCACGGGCTCGTTAGCGAAAAAATGAAGAGAGATTACAGAGCAATCATGGGCCTCCTTGATTACAGACTGTAACCTTCTCTTCTCAAGATTCCATATAGTAATCACACCAGATGAGCCTCCAGATGCTAAAAGGGGTTGCCCGTCAGTGCTAAAAGATAATGAAGTAACAGCACCCCAGGCAGAATGAGTAAATGTAACGACTTCTTTGTCATAACGAATATTATGAACATGAATTTTTCCATCAGCACAACCCACAGCAACAACGTCTAGCGCTGGAGATGAAATGCAGCAATTTATAGAAGACTTCCACCTAGTGAACTCATACAGTTTTTTATTTGTGCTAATGTTCCAAAGTTCCAGTGTACCTTCTTGACTTCCAACAATGACCTATTTCAATATTGATTGTTGAGCAACCAGAAATCAATTCAACACTTGTAGATTATGAAGTATGTTATTTAATGTATCATGTTCGATTTTTTAAAAAAACAGAATAGTACAATGTAGAACATAACCTACAATACCTTATTTAAATATGTATCTGGATGCATTATGCAGCTTGGCGTGAAATTATCGCCTAGCGAAATGTGTCCAACGGGAGCAAGGTTTTCACTTATTCCTTTGAAGTTCCATGTGAAGATATTTCCTTCAACATCAACACTTAATATGTGGTCACCAAAAAGTAGCAAATGGTTAACCTTAGCAGTGTGCCTGCTCCAAGTAGCCACCTACCCACCAAAAGTTGATTTCATTTTTACATTTAACTATATTGAGAATCATAAGGTAAAGAGATGCAGTGTAGTGACCTTCATCAAGATTACAGGAAATATGCTAGAAAAATAGATTATAAAGCTTATCAAAGAGAATGAATATGTAAAGCCTAAATATAAGACCAGAGCATTTCAAATTTCATGAAAAAAGAAATGGTTAGTCCCGGACCTGATGAGCACGCTTCACAACTGCAATATCATTTCCATAGGCAGCAAAAGTGTAGTCTCGGTAAGAAGCAAGAGCTCTTATCTTCTTTGGTAATTGAGGGCCTTCATGAAAATTTAAAATTAAAATCATTACAAATTATGAAATGGCAACACTTGGCCATCCATTTTTAGTGAGACAAGAAACTAGTCACTCATTTGTGAATTGTGATCATGTTGTTTTGCCTAGCAACTTTAATCAAAAATCAAAGAAACATATGTGCAAACACTATTTACACCAAAACCCATGTTAGAAGAAGAAAAACTACACCAGAAGTTTCATTTTAGAACCAGAGGTCAAGATGTTGTGAAGATCTCTCTTCATATCAGCAGTTCAAAGTAATGAAACGAAGATTAGCGTAGATTAAATGTTAAATTGAGTGGTAAATTAATATTAAATTTGCCTAAACTTGGTTTGGTTTAGCTGAGAGGTGGATTATGTTTAGGATAATTCATTTATGGACACGTTGTAAGCAAATCTTGGTAATTAAAAAGTTATGATCCATTTTTTTGTACGGCATGTCAAAGCCAGTCTTGAAGCTTAGGAATTGTTGAACATTATCCTCAGGCCAATCACACAAATCATTCCCCTAATCCCGTGTAAACCCTTAACTTCTCATTGAATATACTAACACATTCATGGTAATCAAAATCGTGATTTGGTGCACAAAAACATATGAATCTTTGCGTCCATAGGGAAATTGCAATTTGGATCACTATCAAGATCAGAAATATGGTTGAATTGTCTGGATGATCATTCAGAAGCGCATAAATGCTTGTATCGTACCGGCTTGATTGTTTCATCGGTGTCATTGACGGAATGGAAAATCATATGTTGGACATCTAATTCATCAACTTCCAATTTATATATATATATATATATATATATATATATATATGACTCTTCTGAGAGTCGGAATTCATCAAAATATATATGACACTTCTGTTGATTCATAGGTTTCACACAATCACACTTAAACCTCAGCTTCTCAGCCTCTAAAGAGTTCCGAGCAGCCTGCAACAGTGCACCTTAACTGCAAAACCAGTCTCTGGTTCTTTCAACCTGGGCTCTCTATCGTGCTTCTGCTTCTACTCTTAATTCCGCGAAAACTACCAAACTCAGCAAGGGAATATTACTTTGCTTGATGTTAGAGACTGACAGTGTCTCTGTTTTTTATCTTTAATTTCTTTATTATTGAGTCCTTTGTCTCTGTTGGCCATGTGTGCAGCAATTGTCCCGTGGCGGAGGCTATGTCGGCCAAGTCACAATCGAATATCGTGGGCGATGCACTATAAGGTATGCGCCTCTTCTAACACCAATTGGTTTTAGAAGAGTTGGTAGCGCCTGAGGTCCTACAAGTGGTATCAGAGCCAAGGTCACGAGTTCGATTCCCAGCAGGAGCAATTGCTGAGGGGGAGATTGTTGGCCATGCTGAATGCACTATAAGGCTAGGGTATGCGCCTCTTCTAACACCAATTGGTTTTAGAAGAGTTGGTAGCGCCTGAGGTCCTACAGTCTCTGCCACACCACTTCTGTTTTACAGCAATCTCCACTTCTAGTCTACTTCATTCTCTATGTATTTTTATCTTTCACTTCTCTGTAGTGGATTATGTTAAGGAACTATTTAATTTTTGATGCGTACGAATCGAGGTGTTATGTTTTTTGTCAAAACATGTGTTCTAGTACTTTAAAATGTGTGTGTAGGAGGACCGTACCATAATCTTATGATTTACAAACTTTACTTCTTACTTTGATCTTATGATTTACGTAACTGTTTAGATTACTCCAGACATCCTGATTTCAAAAGCAGTAAAGGAAAATGAATGTAAGATGCAAAGATTAAAAATTTCCAAAATGGATAAATAAATTTAATGAAGGGCATACCGACAAGAACCAAATTGAGCTTAGCGCACTGCAAACAAAGTTTCATAAAGAGAAAAATGATTAGGTTTTCACAACATGAAAGCTCTGACAAAGTATTTAGACTTCAGAAGTGAAATAAAACCAATCAATGGACACAAAACTGTACGTTGTAAATCTGGAAAGCCTTTCCAATGCTAACAGTGACAAATGTCTCGGTGCCGAGTCTCTGTAATGAGAATGGAACGTTGGTCGTGATGTATCCAATAGCTCTAAATGGTTCAAAAATTCCCATTTTCGTCGACCTGTGTTCTGCTAGCCGCACCAGACCAAGGGTAGTTGGGAGATGATTTGAGCTTATTTATAACAATACAGAAGAATATATGGGAGATGATTTTGGATTGTTTGGAGTGATTTTAGAGGATTTCTAGTTTTTTGGGAACAACAAATTTTCCAGCAACTTCGGAAATCAACGAATCTGTGAGCGCAGATTCGGCTTCTCTGTTCACCAATCTTCTTCCTTTGGGAAATTTGAGCAGCGCCGCAGCTACTAGGGTTTCTCGGTAAACATGTACTCTGTATTTTGTTCAATGGAGGCCGAATAGAGAGAGGCGTAAGAAGTGAGATCGACGATGAGGGTGACAAGGGAGACGGGCACACTGTGTGCAGGGTTTTAGGGTTTTGTTTTTCAAACTAAAATAGTCCTGTTTTTTTGGATTAAAAATAATAATTTCTAATTCTTTCTTATTTCTTTTAATTTATTCCAATTTTTACTGTATTAATTTCTTCTAATTTTTTCTGGCTTCTTCCAATAGTTAAATAAAAAATATTTATATACGATGAAAATACGATAACATTATATATTCAAATTTAAAACATATATTCAAAATTAAAGTTTTCTTACATATTTAAAACTCTAATTCTTATAATATTTTTTAAATCCTTCCAGTTTTTTTGTACTCTTTCCAATTTCTTCCAATTCTTTCTAGTTTCTTCCAGTATCCAACTCTGATATTTTAACTCAAAGGAACAAAGCATAAGGACAGTTATTTTCTAGCGCAATTGCCCCTTTCTAGATCAGATCCAATCAAATCAGAATAGATCAAATCAGATCCAATCAAAAATTATTATTATTATTATTATTATTATTATTATTATTATTGTTATTATTATTATTATTATTATTATTATTATTATCATCATTATCATTATCATTAAAACTCCATAGTTTTTAAATTACATATTTTTTACTTGTTTCATTTTATACGATTCTTTCAAAAATTAAATTTAATTTCTCTTGAAAAAATTTAAGAAGAAAGAAATGAAACTTCTGTGCGATTATAATTTATGTAGAGAAAAATAAAATGATATGAAGCACAAATGTTTTCTTAAAAATGAAAAAGAATAAAATTTAGAAACAAGTTAAATAGAAAGTTGAGAAACTAATCCTTAATTATAGGATGTTGAAAAAATTATTTTAAAATACATTAACAATGTCAATCTAATTCTACTTTTAAAATATATTTTTATTACTACATGTAATTTGAGTTTCTAAAGTTATTACATTATAAAATATAAATGAAAAAATATTATTACATTATAGATTTGGGATTCAATGACTGAGATTGAAGAGAATATGAGTGTGTAATATTTTATGCAATATATTATTTATAGCATACAACTTTTTTTTGTCAAGAACATCTAGCATTAATATATTATTATACAAGATGCATAATAATGTATTATTTCTTTGCTTAACATTGATATTTTGTAAGAATGAGATATTTTAATAAAAATACTATTTATTCTCTATATTGATTATCTAAATATAATTATTTTTAATGTATATATGAATTAAAAATTTATTCTAATGTATATATGAACAAATCATTAAAATATTAAATCAATATTCTTATTACATAAAAAATAATCTTAAAATAAAAAATATTATTACATTATAATATGAATGATTGTTATAATATATAAATCAACTAATTTTATTTCATTAAAAATAAGGAAAAATTACCCAAAATAATCTCAACTTTACGTGGTCTTTCAAAAATAATCACTACAAGAAACTTGTTTTTTTGTGGCACCAAATTTTGCCACAAAACATAAAGAATTAGCCACAATAACAATTTGTAGCAATTTGGAAATTTGCCACAAGGTTGCCACAGATACCCCGTTACAAAAGGTATTTGTGACAAATTTAAATTTGCTACAAATATAATGGTTATTGTGGCAAATTATGATTTGCCACTAATAAAACTTTGCCATAGAAGGTCATGTTTAGTGGCAAATTTTAGTTGCCACAAAAGTTCATATTTAGTAGCAAGTTTAGGATGCCACAAATTATACTTTGCCACAAAAGTTTATGTCTAATAACAATTTTTAATTGTTACAATCATCACTTTATTGTGGCAAATCTAACGCAGTGAGAAATTAAATTTTTGCTAATTAAATTTGCTACAAGTTCTTTTTAGTATCATATCATTACTATTATAAATACTATAATTATTTGTATTGTATTTACATTTTACATTTAATGATATATATGTGATGTGAAAACAATACGGAGTGCTAATTAAAACACCAAACAACCAAACAATCAAGTAAAAGCCATATGTTAAGATTAAAAACAAAATATATGGTACCCATAGTTCTAAACAATCAAAGGTTCACAATAATATAATAGAGTTTTAAAATAATAATAAAAACAAAAATACTAAACATGTTTTTATGACTAAGGTATCCTAAAATCTTCCTCTAATCGACAACATCTTGATATCATGTTGTCACTTCAATCTTCATTGTAATTCTCAACGAAAGAGGAAACGAATCACATTTTATATATTGAGTCTTGATCTGCAAATGAAGGAAACAAAGGTAATAAAAGAATTAGTCATAGAAACAAAGGTAATAAAAGAAAATCTTGTTTTGGAGGATAACATATGCTGGACGTACTACTTGCTATATTGTGAAGATTATTTGGAAGTAAAGGAATTGGTAGTAAGTTTATAGTTTACGAAAAACTAACACATATTTGCTCCTGTCTGTTATTTCAGAACCTTGAAATTAATAAAATATATGAGAATCGTATTTCACTATTGTCACCCAGAAATATTTGTTAAAACCTCAATATAGATCCTTCTATATGTAAAAATGAAAACTGCATACCCATTACCCAAGAAAAATGCAAACACAAGCAGGAAGACTTACATAATATAAATATTGAACAGCCCTCTCAGGGTTGTTATAAGCTGCACGAAGGGGTCGAACAACAATGTCCATGTCCCAGATTCCCACTACATCAAGGGTGCTGCCCACGACAAACTAGAAGCTGCCTGACCCTAAACATCTTCTGATTTGTCCATGTAAAATGTATAAGGTGTAAGCTAAGAGATTAAATATGCACACATAAGTTCTCGATTATATATAGATATAACAAAATGCCCCAAGTTCTTCACGTGAAGGTTGAGCTCGCCCAGTAATTGCCACGGGTGCATGAGCGGGAGTTGACATGCAAGGATTTACACGTGTTATATAAGATTATAAAAAATCTAAATGAGAAAATGGTAGATAAGTCATATTAAAAGTGAAAATATTGAAAATGATGAAGGATACACAGAACCATATACACATGTGGACACAGAAATTGCAAGAACATACCAAAGCAAAAAACTTAGGTTGTTGCAGGAGCTGGAGTTGAGCTAGCAGGTGGATTGCTAGGTTCTGTTTCTTGCAGATGCACATAACAAGGTTTACTAATCAAATCATTCACAAGTCACATATCATGGTACGGACTGTAGTACAATTATAAATGCAGCCAATAAAAGAAAGACATTCCTAGCTACTCATCTTTCTCTTTTAGTTGTAGATAGAGAACTAAAGGAATTACTGGGACCTAAATAATATACATTTGAAGATTAGTTTAAAAACATACTACTCTAGCCAAAAATTGCAGATACTTGAAAAACATACTAGAAAGTCTTTTTTGCATTAGGTGGAAAGTGTGTGATAGTGTATATAGTAAACATGCACAAAGAAAATATACTGTGTAGTATTAAAGTAATACCAACCTTGGTTGTTGGTGTAGCTGATGTTGAACTTTCTCTAGACGAATAAGTTTTACTCTAAAAATGCAACAAATTTGAAAAACCAGATAAAAAAATTATCAGCAAAGATTAAAAATCATTTCCGCCTTCACATTGACCAAACCAGTATAGAGCCTGATAAGTCTCGCAGTCCATCCTCCTTTCATACACTTGAGTGCCTACATTGCTACAAGGTGAAAACTAAAAATCGGAGGGAACACATCTTTAGTATTTAGAAGATTTACCTCGATAGCGTCTGAAAAGTCTCTCAACCATTTGTTGCTGGATAATGTAGCTAGCCAAAACCCGTGCAAAAATCTCAATTGGAGCCCGGGAGTACCAGCATTTCTAGAAGGTGAAAGTTGAAAAACAAAATTCTTTGATGTGGTCTCATAATGGCTTGGATTCTAAATCAATTCAAAAAAAGTAAGAAGACAATTGTTCAAAAAGCCATAAAGAGACATTAGTAGCGATATTTTCAGACACATAAATTCTAATTACAACTCGCCGTTAGAAGGGCATTTTTGAAACCTCAAAGTGATCTATGGAGACATAACTTTGAACTCCTAAATATCAGCAAATCAATGTGATGTTAGTAAACAACATCAGTGGCAGTAACTAGACAAATAATCAAGTAGGTATTGAATTAGCTCATTCAAGTAAAAGGCAAGTTATTTCTTAGAAGTAGAACTAACATTCAGGAAGCGGGAGTTATATTCCTCATTCAAGTAAAAGGCAAGAGAATAAAAACAACAGCTAAAAAATCTGAAGAGTGAAAATCAGCTTAATTAACACCATCATTTATAAACAAAAGAGATATACACAAACATCTATAGCCCATAAACCAACTCCGAACCTATTTTGATTCTTTTTTCGAGCTTTGACATTCTTATTTAGGGACAAACTATGTTCCTGGGCCATACAAATGAACAAATAAATCTTAAAATTAAAGCATGTGTAGTAATTATACCCTTTACCCCATTGTCATTTGTATAATTTGTCTAATCTTCCCCATCCTCAGCCAATAACTCCTCTACATCCCACTCATTGACTTCAAATAGAAATCTAAAAATATTTGGATACCACATGGCAACAAAACAAATAAAAGCATTTCTCAAAAACAGAATCCAACCAACTTTTAATCACAATCTAAAGCCAAACTCAGATCTTTATTGAAAAAATTAGAAATTAATCCAAATTCTAACCCAATCAAAACCTAATATGAATCCATCCAGACTGTAACACATACACACAATAGTAGTAAAATAGATAAAAGACATAAAATTGGACATAAACGAGGAAGGAATTGAAGAACAACTCAGGTTTAGAGTCTATACCAGAAAAAAACTATTGGACGCTCAAAGTTCTTTGATTTGATGCTGAAATTTCCATCATTCGTCCTTCTCTGCCGCCTAGCCCGTAGCGTCAACCAGAAGGTCGCGTCACTCCTCCCCTAGTTACAGGCACACTCGTGATTCACACCCTCGAGAAACTAGCCCCTTCGTTGTCACCTTCGTCGGCCCTTGCTCCCTTGGGTAACTGTCTGGTTCAGAGAAAGAAGGGTAAGGGCTGTTCAGTCTCTTAAGGGTTCAGATGTCTGAATGGTTTAGGTTCAGACTGTTTGTTTCAGCCTCTTAATGGTTTAGATGTCTGAATAGTTAAGAGATTTGCCTCTGAATGGTTAAGTATTATACAGAGTTTGAATGGTTAAGACATCTTATCTGAATTGATCAGACATTTGCCTCTGAATAGTTAAGCAATATACTACTCCGTAGCTCTTAATGGTTCAGACCTCTTACTCGTTCAGCACCTAATGGTTCAGACCTCTTACTAGTTCAGCACTTACCCATTCAGAAGTTGCCAAACAGCCCCTAAGTCACGATTGCATAGATATACTCCGTAGTCAATTGTGAATGATTTTCCTCCACTTGTGCAGTTACTCCCTATTTGGATTATGGGCCTCAAAAGGGGTAAAACTTTGAGTCCAATTGTTTTGATATAGTAGCAATTTTACACAATTGCCACAATATGTCAAATATTTTGTGGCAAAATCTTATTTGCTACAAATATTTGTCCCATCTTTATACATTGTGGCAAATAATAATTTTGCTACTAAAATTTAGCCACAAAAAGTCATATTTTTTGTAGTGAATCCCACCTTTCACTATGATGCATAATAATCTCAACTTTACTGAAATTTGTCAATTTTGGGTCGCCGTTAAGTTTCTAACGGAGGGTTAACGGAAATGCCCGTTTTGGGCAACAAACTGAAAGTTTTTAAATTTTTTTCATTTTTTTAATTTTTTATTTAAATTTTTTAAATTACTTTCTACCTCCATCATCATTTCTTTTTCATTTTTTAAAAGATTAGTCTTAGTTTAAAAAATAAAAATAATAGATATAAAAAATTAAACAATGAGAAATGTAACTAAAATGATACAAAAATAATAAAATAAATAAGGTAATCAATGGAAACTAACTTGAAATTGGTAAGAGTAAAATAAAAATATACAGGTGGGTTTTAATATTTTACGTATTATACAAAGTATTAACATATCACTACTTATTTTTTTAGAAAATAATTCTAATTTTTTATCAGACGGCTTGTTCTTTTAAAAAATAAGTAGTATATTAAGACTTCGTATAGTGTGTAAAATGTTAAAACCCACCACTCCGTATATATTTGTTTTATTTCTTACCAGTTTCTGTTTAATTTCTATTGATTACTTTATTTATTTGATTAATTTGTATTGTTTTAGTTATTTTTGTCATTTTCATTATTTTTATATCTATTTTTTTCTAAGGTAAGAATAATCTTTAGAAAAGAAAAAGAAATGGAGGTTGAAAGTAATTCGAAAAATTTAAATAAAAATTTCAAAAAAATTTAAAAAATAAAAATTCATCAAAAATAATCCCAACTTTCATTTTGTTGTCTAAAACGGGCATTTCTGTTAACCCTCCGTTAGAAACTTAACGGCGGCCCAAAATTGACAAATTTCAATAAAGTTGGGATTATTATGCATCACAGTGATATATGGGATTATTTTTGAAAGAACGGGTAAAGTTGAGATTATTTTGGGTAATTTTTCCTAAAAATAATCATGAAATGAAAAATATTATTACATTATAATATGAATTATCATTACAATTTTCAAAAGTTATTATAAAGTCAGATCATATCAAATTATTGATTTTAGTTTTAAATCAAATCATAATTAATCACTTCCATATGTTCAACTTTTCAATAACTCTCTAACCTACCTGGTCTCCATCAATGAGTCAATGACAACGTTGCAAAATGACTATACAAATTACAATACACGGGGAAGATAAACGACCCAAAGATAATAAATAATATTCTAAATTTATAATTTATTTATATTATTAAAAGAATAAACAACAAAATAATAAAATAATTTCAGGAACTTCAAAAGGTCTTGATGTACGATGGTATTTTGTATTGGACTGCAAGCACTTTATGTACTAGACTCAAGCAAAGAACTATGATAAGGACACTGTGAGCAACATCAAGGTCACTAGAACAACAGCGAAAATAATATGGCTAGTAACAGAATACCAATGAGGACATTATGGTTTGTGCAGAATGCAGTGTGGTAACTGTGAACAGAACCTGCAAAAATACTAACATTGTAGAAAGGTAAGAGAGTTGTCAGAGTTGTCTTTTAACTAGTAGTGCTCGCCTACCATACCAAAAAAGGCATGGACACTCTCCTATGAGGATAAAACTGATATCTTGTACGGTAGTTGTATGGGCCGACAATACAAAAACAAACGAGAACATCGACAGGAGTTGTTGACCTAAACAAAATGAAGGGAAAGATCGTTAGAAGACATGCCGATATTTTCTCTCTCTAGTTTATCCTTCTCCAATGTGAAGCTTAAAAATAGAAAAATCATTTCCTTATTTATATTTCCTGTGTATGGATTAGGAAAAGAGAAAACATCATTATCTGTTAAATCGGTTAGGCATGAGTTCTCATGTTGTAACCACCATGTATTAATTATCATTAGTGAGCCTCATTAGTAATTAACATGATATTAGTGACAAGTCAATGATGATCATTAACATGTTCGACTGTTCGTTACACTACGCTCTCTTTAAAATTTGTTTTAAATAATTGGAGATTAATGACCAACTAACTCTGTAAAAATAGACATATTTTAAACATCACGTAAAAATATTGATGGAAGATTGATTTAACAAAAATTACAAACTTAACCATATTATGCTATTAATAGGTTAACTCTAAGAATCAGTTTATAATTTTTCAAAATATTTGTCTCACTTAAGATAACACAAGTTCATCAATTAACAGTTAAAATCGTTAGTGAATCTATTGACAATTATGTTTAAAATTGATACATTTAATGCATATTCAGAATGCCAAAAATTATAAGAGGCAAAGGCACCCAACTATCCCACATAGTTGAGTTTATGCATTTCTGAAGTATCTATAAAGTCCAAGCCATCACATGCAACTATGAAAGAGAGTGAGAATGACATCATTCTTGAAATTAGTTGGGAAACGACAATCCACTCGCAATATCACCCCAGGCATGACCAAGCTCCACAAAGTATTAGTAAACAAACATAAAAGAACGACATTTTCGTCAGCCCACATGTGGGACAAACATTTAAAATATCCATTCGTTTAGAGCTAAGAGCATATATGGTAGACGGGAAGACCCAAACCTTCAATAAAAATTTGGTTTAATAAAATACATCAACCATTGAGTTGTCCTCCGGAGGAATGTCTTTGTCATTTTTATATATTGTGTCATAACAATGCTCCGATAGATTATGGTCTTACATAATATTCAACAAAAGCGTAACTGTTGATAACTGAGACGTCTTAGAACACCCTAGTTAGAGATATCTTTCAATATCTTTCAATATTTCAAAGAATTTCTTATGTGTCGGATTTAGGTATTCTTCAAGAACTGAGACGAATGAGTCAAGACGAAAGTAACGAAGACCATATCTACAAATCGTTCTCTACCTACCATATCTTATTCATTTGAGGCATCAACTTTATGAGAACTTTACGTCATTGTGGGTGTACGTAGATGCCATGCTTCTCATCGTGACACACCCAATCGAAATAATTGGTTGTGAAATCATACTGCAAAATATTCTCTAATATAGTCTTTGAAGAGCTAAACTTGATGTTCTTACATTTTTTTGCAAGGATAATGCATTTTCTTGTTATCCAACCCATCAACATTGGGAATTGACTTATAATACTCTTCAAACTCGACAACGTTGTTCACCCATTTCCGACTAACAACACCTTCTCTCTCATATTCCTTATACATCAACTCACGATTTTCGAATGAACATATTTTAGAAATAATGTTTGGTAGTTGAAAGTAAACAAACATCAATCTTTAACCATAAATATCAACCACAATCTTTAACCACAAACTATATCTACAATGAATTCTAACAAACAACAATCTTTGATCACAAATAATCATCATTTAACCACGAATATCAACCACAATCTTTACCCACAAATTATATCAACAATAACGTTTAACGAACAACAATTTTTAACCACAATCAACAATTTTAGCACTATGAACTAAAAACAAGACTAACATAATTTCAAAACTTTGTAGCTCAAATTGACCAATGAATACATTTTTTTTGAAAACACTAATGAATAAATATAATTCAACTTAAAAACTATTCAATTATACCCAATTTCAAGTCAATTTAGATCAATTTCAAATTAATTTTACATAATTTCAACTCAAATTTATCAAAATATAATTTTTAAATGTATAAATTATATTTTTTATTCTTATATCAATTCTTAAATAAAATAACTTTAAAAAATAGTATAAAATTTTGACTCGTAATTTTTAAATTGTAATCAAGGGACATATAAAAACTTACTCCTATTCGCGAAACACCTTATTATAGTCTGCCAAGTCAGAGAATGCGGTCCTTTCATCTCTCATGCTCCCCAATTTGGCGCCAAAAGCCCACACCTACCACAAAGCAGTAGAGCGGCTTGCCAGTTGCCACCGTCGTCATCTTCCCGGGCAGGAAACCCTCGTCAGCTCTCATGGCAGAGCCCAGTTCTAAAAGAATGAAGGTTACAAGGTATGTCCGGCCTATGAAAGATTACGCGAACCCAATTACGAACATTCTAACGCCGTATACGCATTTTCTCAATCAACGTCTACATATACTGGACTATCGGAGTAATTTGATTGGTTGGAATTCGATCAGCGCGCTCCGTCTTCTTCGCTTGAACTCATGTTGAAGAAAAGTACTTCTCTCAATAGTTTTCACGTTTTTGTTGTCTGCATTCTTGAACTGTTAGGGTTTTCACATACTTCATTAGCAGTCTGAAAATCTTGGAGTTCATGACGTTCCCAGTTTAGTACCATTTGGTATCCTGTTACTCTGTTGCTTTATGATCTTTATCTATTTCAATTCTGAATTTATGGGTTGATATATGTTAAAAGCTATTGCCTCTTAAACATGTTTTTTCTAATACAGAGTATCCCTATCCCCCTTCCCCCCTCCCCCCTCCCCTCCA